CGAAGTAACAATCGTTATATCATTGAAACTGGCATGGGACTATGCAAAACACGTTTCAACCGAACGATGTATTCATTTTGAAATTGTGACAATGAGCAAGAAAATTCTAGTAGCTCTCGCAAAGCCATCAACGCAATTGTGCGTAACATTAATTTCATAACTCGGTCATAATGCGTCTTATGCTAGGAGAGGACTTGAATTTAAGTATACAACTGAATAATTTACAAAGACAACCCCCCCCAAAAAAAAGTCGGTTAATATCCATGGATACAAACCGACATTCATTCATATTTCGATATCATGTTGGTACAACTGGAAGAGATTCTGATTGAGACTTGGAGCTCCTCAGACAGAATTTCATGATTATCCCCTCCTCCGCAGGACAAACCACGCCCTCTCCACCGTAAAGAATCCCAACAAATATCAAACTACAAAATAACATTCGTTGACAATTTATCACAAAATGAACAGTCTGTTTTCTTAGTGAATTCTTCCCTCCACCAGATTGGAAAATTTGAAAATTCTTAATGCAAATTCCGAACGCTTTTCATGCTTTTTTTTCTTCAGCTGACTTACAAGATTAAGGATGGTGAAGACATCCACCAGCAGAGCGACTTGCACCGTCTCGGAGGCGTTTCGGACCGGGCGGGTCTCGACATCGTACCCGGCGTTCGTCCACAGATCTGAGACCAGACGAGCCTCGTCGTTCCACGGGACGGCACCCACTGCAGCGATGGCAGGGACTAACACTAAAAGCACGGAGATTACACGGTTCATTTCTGAAAATAATGTCAATTTGAGGGGAGAAGTCAATGACATTGGTTGAAAAGTCGACGAGAGATGTTACTCAGTGGATTTAAACACAATGCAATTAAAAACAACAATCAAATGTAAATCTTATGGGATGGCAAAATTATTAACAGAAAGCAACATCTTGCAACAGAAGTCCTGAACATACATGCGGTGCATCCACACGAGCTTTACAAGAAATAATAGGCAAAAATATCAGCACTGCAAAAGGCATTATCACAGCAGTAAAGAAACTGCATGAACAGACTTCAAGAATTTCACGACGAACTGTTGAAAAAACGTGCATGCGGCGGGATCGCAACTTCCGAAAAAAAGCCTGAAAATCTCATGCGTTCAAAAATCACTCTCACGGTAGGGCGAATGTACTCCTTTCTTTACCAGTTCGATAGACTCCTATCATGTATGTACAATCCGGACAACCTGTTGGTACAATTATCGGCGTCTCCCAGCGAAATTCATCACAGTCTTTCTCATTACAAAACTCTCACCTTTTGCAAACATGCATGCATTTTACAGATTGTAAAGACAAACGTGGCTACACGGCTCTACCTGAATCAGAGTGATTTGTATGCACGGTGTGAGCTCGTATGAATGGAGCTGCTCATTGCTGCATCTTCTTATTGCAGTTTGCTCTGGCGCGCATCAAGCTTATGCGACATTCATCTCCACAAGATCACCGTAAACGACATGCAAAAACATCCAACGAGGCCAGCGTAATTTACCGGGCCTATATACCGCCTCAATTATCTGTCTCCGCTTCAATGCGACGTGACAACATCAACCAAAAAGCACTCAGGCTAGCTCAAGACTATTCATTCTTATTCACTAATCAGTAACAGAATTTTCATTAAAACCTTCCGTAACCTTCCGGGGTGGCCATTTCTCCGGCATCTCTGCTTACCGGTAAAATAAATCAGCTGTTCAGTCATCCATCTTTGACGGTGCGGTGGTCAAGTAAACACTGGTGAATATCAGAAGGAAATCTTCTATCATTTAACACTGGCGTGACTGTTCTCCCTTCCCTCATTGATTGTGGCATAACTGCTTGCCAAATGGTCTTCTGCAGGCTAGTCAAGTTTAATATATACAATGTACATATGCCTGACATGTATCACGTGATTGAAAAAAAGGTCATGTGATTAGTGTATATTCCATGGCGAAAAGTGTGGCATCACAGACGGTGGCCTGTTTTACGCTAGGCATGGTCACAATGTTGCGGGTTGCGGGTTCGAGTCCCAGTAATTTTCCTTTTTTTTTCCCAGGAGTGACTTTCTTTCTTAGCTTTTGTTCAATCAAGTCCTACTGATCGAAGAAATAAATTTTACTTTTTTTTCTCTCTGATTCATGGTTCTTGAGGATTTTATAAAGGGAATCTAAGTCCGAGAACAATTCCGTTACCAAACTGACGCATGCGCATAATGGTCATTAGAACTTGGTTGCAGAAAAAAACATAATTACTAATTGCTCTGCGTAAATGCTTTTAGCTCCATATACTTTCATTTGCATCCGACTTGATAATGCATCGCAGTAATTAAACAAATTACTTTGTACTATACGCGCGCATGAACGCACACCGTACAGCCCACGCAGTGACTAAATAATTATAATGCCTACGTATTAATAAAAAAAAATCGGTATTTTCCATTTCTGGGCAGAATTGATGGCGTGGCAGTTTCTCGGACGTTACGAAGCAGTCGCCTAGCAACGTAGCGTCGTAATCTGGTATGCCAGCTTTGTGTAACAAGTGCACATTTATGTTTGCAAAAAAGGAACACCAGGGCACGGAAGGGTTTGAAAAATGATTTCATTCTTGATTTTCCGATTACAATATTAGTTTCATATTTCAAAAATTGTATCCATCGAAGAATCTTTCCTCGATCCACAGTATGGAAAACCTATTCAATTACTGCCATAACGTACTTGTCCGTTCATGTCCGTTCACTGCAGGAACGTAAAAAGGCCTACATTCCCAGTGACTGCCTATACCAAAAACACGAACCATAAGCAGCGCCATTCTCTTACCCAAAACTGGCTATTTTCTGATATTAGCTGTGGCCGGCTGAATACAACGAAAAAGTGGTGGCAAGGTATGTTTATTTTCTCATGTACAAAGATCATTTTGATACAAATAAAAAGTGAACATAGCCTGATGGAAATTCGACATGATGTTGGATCCACACATAGTGCAGCCATAAAATAATCATGAACGAAATGTAAATCCTGGCAACTTGAAAAACTAGCTTCATACGCACTTTTGTAGGCCCGGAAGTCTCGACACTTGCACACCTCTTCCACAATGGTCGACTGCCGTGCAAAGATGAGAGTTATGATGGCGACTGTTAATGAACAGGCCTGTCGTTATTTTGTCTACATCCACTACGATTAACTTGAACTTCTTTTACGGCTCAAATGACATTCTTTGACGTAGAAATTACGTATACACGCTATGTAAAATTTAAGAAGAACCGTTTGGTACACAATTGACAGTGTCAAAAGCGACCATAAATTTTAAGGTAAAAACGTCAAGTTTATGCCGGGCCTGGATTATCCAAATTGAGGGCCTACGAAATACCACAGTGTGTGATAATGCACAGATCTGCGAGTACCTATTTGGTTCAATTTGGTAAAGGATTGATGAACACAAAGAACACAGTTTCCACTTTGATTTTAAAATCACTGAGCGGTAACCGCTCGAGTGCAGGCACCAGACGCATCGTAATTTTTCAAGAGGGCAGCATGCCCATGCATTATTATAGACGACTGGGTTTTTTTCCCACTCTGACCAATATAGGTGTACACTAAATAGAAAAGACAATTGGATTTCAATCAAGCTTTTCTTTTTACGAGTGACAGTTCTATTGTTCTATTGTTTAACATTTTATAACATTCATCGTCATACATCGTCAATTGTTGGTGTTATATAAATAATACGATCTTAAGTGAGCAGCAGGAATGGAAACAAAGAGAATGTGAAAGGACAAGATGAATTACCCCCGGTAACAGTAGTGAACAGGCAGGGGCGACGGAACGCTTTTCAAGCTTGGGGAGGGGGACACCAAAAAGGGGCACTTATCCAGAAAAAAGGGGTCCCTTCTGTCGGTGTGAAAATGAGAGCCCTTTGTCTACGCAATGGCGGATCCAGAACACAATATATTTCTTTTGGGTGGGGGGGGGCCAAAAAAATTTGGTCCCCCAAAAATTGGGTCCAAAAATTCACAGCGTGCGGTTCGGGGCCCGCTTAAGGGCCCAGAAAAAAATGGATTGTAGATGCTCTGTGGTGCGATCTGAGGCAATTTCTGAACACTTTAAGCATTTTTTTTTTTTGAGGAAAAGATGGTGGTTTTTGTGACGTCACCGGGAGGGGTACTTGTGTTTTTGAGGGGCAGTTTTGCATTACAAGAGAGCAGACAATTTTATTTGTAGCGCGATCATAATGCTTTTATGTGTGCGTTTGAGGGGCATTTTTGTTTTCATCTCAAGGGGGCACATTTATAACCGCGAGAGGGGCACTTTTGTTGGCTTTGGAAAATCTGGGGGGGGGGGAGTGCCCCCTGCCCCCTCCCCCCCCCCCCCCCCCCCCCCCCCCGGTTCCACCGCCCCTGTGAAACAAATTTTCCAAAAAGGCACTTTCACTTTCTGGGTTTGTTTTGGTACTCACAAAAGTCTTCAGTTGACCGCTGCCACCATGTAATGCTTTTAGTAGCATTTAGGAAAGGACAGACAAAAAAACGTGTCTTTGACTTAACCCGAACACTGTTTTATTCACATGCTGACAGTCGTTTAAGTTCATTTAAGTTTATTCCACTTCCGCGTTTTGATACATCGCGGTTACTCGTGTTTGCATGGGCGTTCAAATCTCGAAATGTCATAAAAATCACACTTTCTCATATAACATATACACACAAAATCAAAAGACATGGAGGCTTGCATCAGGGGCGGATCTGGCTTTCAGGAAACAGGGGTTGATATACAAGGGGGGACGGTGAGTGAAGGTGTGCCGAAGGCATGCCCTGATAGTGAGATCAAGGGAACTTCGACCCACCCTCACCCCCGGCCCACCTTGATCCGCTACTGTTCATCAATATTCAAGATTATTAATTCACGTTGTACTTTACATTTATTCGGGCTATCTGGGTGGATCTTTACGAGTGCAAAGAGACAGTCTCTAAACATCTTTATGTAAATGCAGACCCTGGTAAAACTTCGCGATCTCGAATGCCCCGATTTGTACCGGTAACCTCACAAAGCGGCAACCTCTGGCGCCTCACACCCTCACCCGGTAACAATGCTCCCTAAATCTGGATAACCTCAACAACTATCGCCAAGAAGAAGATGAAGAATGCGATGTAATAGACAACGAAGGAGACGCGATCCAGATACTTCGCGATTTTCTTCCAGTTCCAGGGTTTCTTTGCCTGTGAAAGAGAGGAATAAAACAGGGTATAAAACCTCGGGAAACAGTCTTAAGTATGTAGGCTACAGTATACGAACCTCCTTGACACTATATCCAACTTAGGCCTACGGGAAGCAAGAACACCTCGCCCGAGTTTGGTGTAAGTCACAGGACCTGTACTAGTAAATTTTATGACCAACCTTTGACTGCGGTTTTTCCTCATCCTTTGCTGCATCTCCTTCCCTGTCTTGAGTGAGTCTTGCTTGTTGGGGATCCTCAATACCAACTTGTGCATGAGGTGCGCAGATCTTACACAAGGCCGTGCTCTGTGAGGTTTCCCCGCCATCACCTCTGTGATAGAGGGCAATAGATACAGCAGATATCATGACTGCCACACCGACAAGTGCGAAGTTGAAGAGCACGTAACGAATCAGGAGTGAGGGTTTCTCGCCTCCTGCCTCACTCAACGCATCCTGAACAAGCAGCTGAAAGATAACAAAACCGAAGAAAATGGAAATACCGAAGGAGAGTTTCTCGCCGCACTCGGTGGGCAGCCAGAAGATCATTGAGGCGAGAAGCGTGAGGATCGTGCAGGGGGCCAGTACCGTGTACACGTGGTACTTGGGCTCGCGCCTCAGCTTGAGGTTCACCTCAGTCTCTGAGGTTCGGTGGCACTCCTCACCATCTGCTACCGCGTGTGCATCGATGCAAGTCGGTGACAGGATGCCACGGACCGTGAGGTCATCAAGATGCCAACTGGAGATTGACTGGACACTCTCACGAGGTTTATCAGCCTCGGAGGCTTCTAACCTCATCACGCCGCTCGGGACGCCAACTGTGCCGACAAGGAACTGACATTCCTGGACATCGAAGGGGAACAACGCCTGTTGAAGGTGGCATTGCGCCTCGAAGATGAGGGAGTGAAGCACGTGAAGCACGCCCTCACTGGTGATCATCACTTCTGTATCGTCCGTGATCAGTCTTGACTCTTCAAGACTACAAGTACAAAAAATAGACATTCGAAGTCGCAATTTAAACAGTATTGTTTTATGCTATTTATTTTGTAGTTCTGAATACAACCTCTTAATTCCCAGTAAGTACGATACACAAAACATATCGTGGTACAATAGTGCATGACCTGCGCTTCCAACAAATATATGACATGAAATCTCTGCCTGTATCTGACGTTATGTAAGAAAAACCACCGATTAACGTCATAACCTCAATCTGCATGACCTAATAATTACTCAATCATTGTGTGAAGAGAGACTTTGATGAATTAAACAACAGGGAAACTCACGCGTTCAGCACCCGGAGTTTGGGATACCAGGTCTTGTCCGCCGCAACTGACAGATACTCCAGACCGTTGTAGACGTCAGGGTTCCATTTCAACCTGTCATCTTGCCATTTCTGAAAACAAGTATACAGTCACGTACGCTATATGGAATTCTTCGTCAGGAGATAAAAACAAATTAAATATTCTAAAAAGTGAAATTTCAAGTAGATCGTTAAAGGGAGAAACCCAATTTTAAAATATAAAATTCATCAAATAAAAATATAAAAGTTTACTAAATGAAATGAAATGAAATCAGATCAGATCAGATCAGATCAGATCAAATCAAATCAAATCAATTACCGTTACACCTCCATTATCCCGTGGACATTAAAAGGGAAACAAGCAAAGTTTCATGTTCTTACCATGTTAAATACAGAAGCAATTCTAATTTCTTGTTCCTTGGAATCCTGTAAAAATATATAATACAAGTGCTGAAGTTCTTTACGCATCGAAAGAGATATTAAAATCGACAATGACAAATAATTGCTTGGTACAGCCCTGCTAAAACCGCCAGAGACCACCCCCCCCCCCCCAATTGTGGCCCATGCCACGCCTCTCCCCTTGCTCTGTTGTCACAAAGTAACAATCGTTAGCATTGAAACTGACATGGGTCTATGCAAAATACGTTTCAACCTAATGATGTATTCATTTTGATATGGTTTGGAACAGTGAGCAGGAAAACTCTAGTAGCTATCGCAAAGCCAGCTGTGCGTAGCATTAATGAATAAATGAGTAATAGACGTCTGATATGAGATGACTTCAATTTAAGTAGAACTGAGAATTTACAAAAAAAACCACAATGGTTTATATCCATGCATCCATATTTCGATATCGTGTTAATATGGCACAACTGTTAATAGATACTGATTGAGGATTTGTAGCTCCTAAAACAGAATTGCCTAATGATCCCCTCCAACGCAGAACAAACCAAATTATAACCAACTTATTTTTTTATCATAAATTCTCCCACTCCACCACATTTGGAAAATGGGGAATTTCTGATTGCAAATTCCGAACTCTTTCATGCTCTTTTTTCTTCAGCTGACTTACAACATTAAGAATGGAGAAGACATCCACCCGCAGAGCGACTTGCACCGTCTCGGAGGCGTTTCGGACCGGGCGGGTCTCGGCATCGTACCCGGCGTTCGTCCACAGATCTGAGACCAGACGAGCCTCGTCGTTCCACGGGACGGCACCCACTGCAGTGATGGCAGGGACTAGCACAAGAAGTACGGAGATTACACGATTCATTTCTGGAAAAAAAATAATGTCAGTTTGAGAGATGTCCAAAAGAAGCCTGTTAAATCTCATGCCTTCATAACTGCAGGGCACACGCAAACCACATACTCGATCCTTCCTTTCTCAGTTCGATCATGTACGAACATTACAATCCCGACAGCTCTTGGGACAAATAACGACATCTCCCAGCGAAATTCATCACAGTCTTTCTCTGTTCAAGACTCTCACCTTTTGCAAACATGCAAGCAATATACAGATTGCAAAGACAAACGTGGCAACACGGCTCTACCTGAATCAGAGTGATCTTTATGCACGGTGTGAGCTCGTATAATGCGAGTTGCTACATCTTCTAACTGCAGTTTACTCTCGACCGCATCAAGCTATGCGACATCTCCATAAGATGACCGTAAACGACATGCAAAAACACCCAACAAGGCCAGCGTAATTTACCGGGCCTACCGCCTCATTTATCTGTCTTTACGTCAATGCGACACGACAGTGTCAACCAAACATCATCACTCAGGCTAGTTCAAGATTATTCATTCCTATTTGACCAATCAATCACAGAATTTTCATTAAAACCTTCCGGGGGTGGCCATTTCTCCGGAATCTCTGCTCACCGATGAATTAGTCAATACATCAGCGGTCCAGTCATCCATTTGCGACGGTACGGTGGTCAAGCAAATACTGGTTAATAAGGTGATCATAATAAACTGGTATATGCCTATAATGCTCTATATCACTGTAACACTGCCGACCGTGACTGTTCCCCCTTCCAACCACTGGTTGTGGCATAACTGCTCAGGCGGAAGTGCTTCAAGTTCCCCCTTACTTTAATTTGCAACCTCGCATCCATTTTGCTAATGCATAACAGTAATTACGAAACAATTTATTTTATGCATCATGATTGTGCACGCACGCACGCCATATCGGTACAGCCGGCCATGCACTGACTCATAATAATAGACCTCCGTATTAGGCCTAATTGATATTTTCCGTTTCTGGGCAGATTTAATGACACGGTTTGTAGGGCATTACTAAGCAGTAGCCTAGCAACGTAGGAACGTTTTTCTCATAGAATACAAATATCATTTCATACACATAACAGGTGAACATGTCCTGATGGACTATTCGACATGATAATAATAATAATAGTGGCATCTTATTAAGCGCAAACAGGTCCATCACTCGGTGACGCTCATGGCGCTATACAAAGAGTAAGTACAAACTACAAAAATTATAAATGACAAAATTATAAATGACAAAACTACAAATTATCAATGCTAGGTCCAAGACATATGAATTGCAAGGTGCAAGCCGAAGAGGAGATACGATGTTGGATCTACAGTCATAAAAGAATTATGAACTATGTAAATCCTAGTTATCATGAACTAGGTAAATCCCGTAAGTCTAGTACTTGAAAAAAGGAGGTACATGTACATACGTACTTTTATGGACTTGAAAGTCTCGACACTTTAAACCCAATACGTACCTCTTCCACAATTCTGTCGTCTGTCTTGCAAAGATGAGAGTTATGATGGCGACTGTTAATGAACAGGCCAGTCGTTATTTCGTCTACATCCACTGCAATTAACTTGAACTTGTTTAACTGGCTCAAAATGACTGTCTTTGACATACAAATACGTATACAATGTATACGACGTGTAAAATTTCAGAACTTGTGGTACACAATCGACAGTGTCAGTAGCTACCATGAATTCAAGTTTAAGCACAGAGCTACTCGACCGGGTACCAATTTGGTTCAACCAGACAGTCTGATGGTTGTGTTGTGTTTGGCCTTTGCTCACGGTAACCCACTTGTGTATTCGTGTAAAGGATTGATGAACACAAAGAAGTTGGTTTCTAGTTTGATTTCAAAATCACTGAGCCGTAACCGGTCGAGTGTAGGCACCAGACCAATCGTAAATTTTCAGGGTGCACCCCTGTATTAAAATTCCCTTAGACACCAGCGCTGAATGCCCATGGTTCAAAATTCTTTTACAAATAACTCTCACGGGTATTTTAGGCTGCACAGAAAAATGATGATCAACATGTCATCTTCCATTTTCTTTTACATTTTTAGTGGGTTGACGATCGACTTTTCGAGAAATTCTCACCCAAAGAAGACGACCCCTATATTTCCCAATAGCTGAAAAGTAGCCATCTCGAAAAACGATCCCTCCACAACAGTGGCGTAGCCAGGAATTTTTCAGTGGGGGGGGGGGGGGGGGGGGGGGGGGGGGGGGGGGGGGGGGGGGGGGGGGGGGGGGGGGGGGGGGGGAACATTTAATTGGGGGCGTCATGCAGGGGCGTCAATCGCTTCTCAAAAGTGGGGGGGGGCGGACATACCTTGATCAGAACTTATGCGAAGCGCGAAGCCCTTACGGCGTGGGGTTCGGGGCCCGCTTAAGGGCCCCGAAAAAAAGATTTTGATTCTAGATGTTCTGTGGTGTGATCTGAAGCAATTTCTTACCACTTTCCTCCATGCTTTAACTAATATTTTCTTAGCAAAAGATAATTATTTGGACATCGTTTTCGAGGTTGGAGTCATTGAATCAGCTATCGGTATTCTGAGCTATAGGCGTGGGGTTCGGGGCCCGCTTAAGGGCCCCGAAAAAATTGGATTCTCGATGTTCTGTGGTGTGATCTGAGGCAATTTCTTACCACTTTAACCAATAATTATCTTAGCACAAAAGATAATAATTCTGAGCTATAGGCGTGGGGTTCGGGGCCCGCTTAAGGGCCCCGAAAAAATTGGATTCTCGATGCTCTGTGGTGCTATCTGAGGCAATTTCTGACCACTTGAACCAATATTTTCTAAGCAAAAGATACATTGTAGTACATAATAGGGCCCTGTAAATGAGACACGAGGTCAAAAATCTGGGGGGGGGGGACATTTGATATTGTGTCCCCCACCCTTCAAAAAGTGCCACGGGGGGGGGGATGTCCCCTGTCCCCCCCCCCCCAGGATTGACGCCCATGGCGTCATGTAGATCAATGATAATTTTTTTTTAAACTCTAAATCTCAGTGGGGGGGGGGGGCGACTGGGGGGGGGGGCGACAAGGTTTGATGGGGGGCAGTCGCCCCCCCCCCACGCCCCCCCACCCCCCCCCCCCCCCCCCCCGTTGGCTACGCCACTGCTCCACAACATGGCAAAAAAGCGCCATTTTGGGGCGCAATTGCATCCAAAGTGCTGAGAATTGGAAGCCCCAAGTCCGGGCCAGATATGTTTTGTGGTCATTTTTGGATGAAATTTTCTCCCAAAAGTCATTTGAGTACCCCCATTTGAACTGAAAATGAAAGATGACGAAATAAGCTTTAATTTGTTGGGTGTCTCAAATCACTTGGAGATTTGTGAGTATTTTTTTTCCTGATCTTGAGATTTGAGGGTATTTATCACTGACGTCTATGGCAGTTTATTTGCTGGTCTGCAACCCTCGTGAATGTTAAAGCGCGCCCTCTCGCGCTGCAAGAAAACCTGAGTATTCCTTATTCTATCATGATATAACCCAGTCTCCCAACGTTCAGTGATTGGATTATTCTTTCAGAATTTCATTGAAAAAGGGGCTTCTCTGTAATAACATTAATCACATCATTTCAAAATTGCGAACTTGTTCGTGCTCGAGGGATCGACGCAAACATTAAGCAACAGTACAATGTACGCGCGTTGCGTCAATCTACCATTAAACTTAAAGGGCGCCCCCTATAATAAACACGCCGTAAGCTTTGCGCGCGCACCCACTCCCAAAATAATATGTACATTGTACATGTAGGTTTTTTTGTTCAGTATTATTGTTGAGGGTTTGTGTATAGTTTTCAAACTTTCTGATCGTTCGAATACTGTAAATTACCACAAAATAATGTGAGATAACTGGCACAACTAAACAACGAATCTGCGCTTGACAACTTTACAGATGAATAAGTACAAGTCTTGTGCAAAGCAAGACAGTAATTTCATCCACACATGAAGCACAAAGTGACAAAAGATACATACTGATCAAAATTTGCATCATTTTAAATTGGTCACTAGTTTTCGTTGATCGTCTGACGAGTTGCGCCGAACCTGTCTGGTTTGCTGTACGCAGCTCCGCCCATAGCTCATTTGCATGACAAAGCGAAAAACAAAAGTTTAGAAGTTGTGACGCACTTAGATCTTTGTGGACTGCATCTTTATGTGGCGGCTGCGCTGCCAAAATACCTTCAAGTTAGAAATGTAATCTTGTTTTAAAATCACTCAAATATAAGGGGAAAAGGCAGTACGGATAAACAAATTAACATCACAAGTTAATATTTTCTCTGAGGTTTTATATTCTAATCTTTTCTCTATCTCTTCGTTCTCGTTTGACCAAATTGCTCTTTAAACTTTGGACGACTATAAATATATTACAATCCTATGTGAATTTTACCCCCCTGCCCCTTCCCAATTTATTTGTCCTATAAAATATTAGTTTCTCTTGCTATTCCTGGGTTAAATTCCAGCTTTTAAATATCGATTTAAGTAAGGAGAAATTTAATGTGATTTTCAACATTTTGGAGACCAAAAAAAACAAGATAAACCCGATCTGCATAATCGACCATGACAACTGCAGTTAAAACCGCGCATTCTTTGTGCGCGGCTCTGATGCGTTTGTACTTTTGTACACGTAACACGTTCTGTTCAACGCCACCCAATGACGATATGCACAATCTGAACGTGTTCCCGCGAAACGCAAAAATCCCAAGCGAGTGCCCTTTGTGACACAGCGCATGCGCACTTTCCCCACTGTCAACCTCGTGAAGCGAACAAAATGTCGTCGCCACCAGCCAAAATAAGGAAAGAAGAGACGAAAAACAACGGCCAAAATGTCGCCGAAGTTGAAGGTAAGCCCGCCCAGGGGATTCTGTGGGGTATATCGAGCCGGCCAGTGCGGGTAGTTTGTCTCGGAAAAGGCCGGTTGGGGAGGAATTTGCCATTCAACGTGTGGAAGTCGTGGTGGCGTCCATTGTTTTCGGCATTGTGTGCCTGATAGAAATACATGTGGAAAGCATGGCGTGCTCATGAAGATCAATTTGGCGCGCGTGCATTGTATCTGCGAGAGCAATGAGTCGGAGGTGTATTTCCGACACCAGTGAATAGTGCTCTGAACTCAACAAGTGCATTGGTGAATTTCTTCTCAAAATTCACCATGCTTGCGTTGCATATCTTTGATATCGTTAATACTGTGATTGTTTGGGCCTATATTCCCCTCTTTCAGTTTCCCAATGCTAATTCCATTGTAATGTGGACCCATTATTTTTTTTTACTGGCAACAGAACTGTGTCTGTACTGACTGTAAGTGTATTTGGAAAAACTATCATGACTGTTGCAACCTGACGCGACTTTTTTTCTTCATATATCATCTCAATGAAGGTCAGTCATTCCAAATATGACGATAAGACATGAATCTGGGACTGAGAAACATTTCCAATTTTGTTAGGAAATACTTCATGTACTTAGAAAATTGTCTGGACCCTCCATAGACTTTGTACACAACCGCTGAAGTGGCGTCAGGTTGCAAAAAAAAATTCCGTGTATTTAGAGCAAAAAAAAGTCATGTTTCCTGAATTTAAAATCTAGACTATTCTGTCCCTGCTGTTTGTCATGGAAGCTACTTAAATAATAACCACCAGGGAAAATTAACCGGTCAAATGTGCATGACCAACGACCTTGAGAAAAATCCTGCCTTGATTTTGGACAAACACCCTCCAAATTGCCCCTGAAAATTACATGATAACTAGACATCCAGATTTATAAACCAGGTAAATAGTTTCCATAGCAAGTAACATGTGAAATAAAAGTCCAGATTTCAAATTCAGCGAACAAACGTTTTAAGCATGAAATTACATCGCTGTGTGACTCCATTGAGGAAGTCCGATATTTGAGATATGTTTATTCGGCTAAGTCAGCCTAGATTATTTCAGTACGTACAAGTTATTAAGATGCAGAGTTTCAAACAGAATTTGAGCTTTGGTGGTTGTAGTACTAGTTCATTTAGATGACATTGGATCCAGTTGGAGTTTATGCTTCAAATTTGGGGGGAAATGCTACAGGGGAGATTGACGTGATTTGATGTTGGAGAGGACAACTTACAATTCTCATTTGTAAATGAGAATTATTTTGAAAATGAAGTTGGAGGTTATTTTTCTAAGATTATGTTTTTATATTTGACCTCGTGATCTCCAGGGAAACCCTTCGAGGAGTCTATGGTATACCTCTGACTTTTCCTGGAGCCACTCTTCTCTTTCAGGTGGCATAGATGGGTTTGAAAATGGATTGGTTTCTTACTTACTCTACTAAGATAATTCCACTTTTTCTCTTTCTCTTTTTGACTCAGAAGAGGACGTCAATCAGGTGGCGGTGCAAGCCATCGACAGCGTTCAGAGCGAGATCGACGCACTGAACGAGCAGGCCAGTGAGGAGATTCTCAAAGTTGAACAGAAGTACAACAAACTGAGGAAGCCCCACTTCGACAAGCGGGCGAAGATGATTGAGAAGATTCCTCACTTCTGGGTCACGACCGTATCCTTTCTTATTTATAATGTGTAATTGCAGAGATCACAATTTCATGGAGGAGCAGAGAGTAGTTTTTTAAGGATCAAGTTAAGCACTGAGCACAACATTTTGCATAAAAAATTAATCAAACTCATGTTTTTGTCTTGTCTAAAGCCCACATTTTTGCCTTGAATAAAATGTTTTGCATTCCGTGTCTAATGGGCTTGATTTTAAGATGCTTGCTAGGTTGTAAAGGGTTTCTAAAATAATAAAAAATTGCATCCTCTCTCCTCCCCCCCCCCAAAAAATTGTGACATGGGCCCTTTAGCTAGGAACCATCCTCAATCTTCCAAAATCCTCCTAACAGAGTTAATTTTGGAGGATTGAGTAGGGTTAGGGTTGGTTATTTTATCTCGCTTGGGTCTGTATTTTGAAACCTTGCTGTTCTGTGTTGCTGTATTGCACAATTATTGTTTTATATTTTACAACCTTTTTTATAAAGTTTTAATTTATGTTATAATCATTTTTATCAATGTCAGGGCCCTATATGGAGGACCACCGAATAGTGAATATAAGCTACTCTGGATAAATCTTACAAATAAATTAATAAATAAAAAAAAACAATGGAATTACTTCTTTCCATGTGATAAAAAAAAGTAATTTTGAAGTCTGGCTCCTTGACTCGCTCGCTCCAACTACCAGTTCTTACACCATCCCCAAGTGTCAATGTTATTAGATGAGCAGGACGAGGAGGCACTGCAGTATCTGACCAAAGTGGAGGTGCAAGAGTTTGAAGATATCAAGTCGGGCTACAAAATCTTATTTGTGAGTATCAGGCATGAGATTTTTAAGACTTTGGTCGGAATTCAGGCTTTTTGAATCTGAGAGAAGGACATTATCAATACAGAAAAAAAATATTTTTCAGACCTTCCGTCCCATTTTCAGATTTTTTTTTATTGACGATTTTGTCCCTGATGAGTATTAATTTCAGGCAAGTTTACTTTACAATCTGGCCTACTTGAACTGTAATTGACAACTTATCCAAATTACATTTCGACTTAAGTTTATTATGTTAATATGATACCTCGGGCACATTTTATTTAGCAACTTAATCCAAATTACAGTTAAAGTAGTTTTTCGTTAGGAATCAGAGATTTTACAAATTAAGGCTAAAAAAAAAATACTCGGTCAACCTTCTTTTTTTTCTTCAAATTAACACGGAAGCTACAACAGCGCCCTCTATTGTCGCGCCTCAAATTTTTGTACCAAGGAGCACCAAGGAATGGGGAAATTGCACCAAGGCAAATGATAAAGGGCACCAAGGCAAATTATGGAGGACACCAATGTATAATGAGGACACAAAAAAGCAAAATAGTACCCACCTTGTCTGTACAATACAAGCTTGAAAAAAAAAAAACCGCGTCGCCGCATCAATTCCGGAACTTCGGTCTGACCAGAAACCGACTATTTTTTTTGTTGGCCTAATCCGACATTGCAATTAGTACAAAAAAAAGTTAAAAAATAGACCAGTTTCTCTGCCCGCTTCATTTTTCTCCACCCTCTTCTTTATTATTTTTTAATTTTTTAATTCATACATTTGCAATTTGTTAAGCTATGCTGTAGCTGTGTAGAAAGGGTGACAGATCCTTTGGACTCAATTTCTATCAGCAAAGGGTCGAGAAAATAGAAGAATCCATCCGTCATCTTGGAAAATCCGGGGGGGGGGGGCAAAAAATAAGGGGCTGCTTTATTCACTTTTTCAAAAAGCCCAGATAAAAAACTTGCTTATTTGTTACTCAGCCTTGCAGTGACTGCTTTCCCCCCCCCCCTTCTTTTTTTTAACGCTTTCTGTTTGTTTCTTAATGTTCTGAACACGTCACTAAAGATGAATAAATCATTAGAAAGACCAAATGCAGCTTTAGAGCTTCCCAACTCGGTGGAAAGCAGCCCCAATAATCACATAAAGTTTGCAGCTCAGATCGGTCAGCAGCAGAAAGCATGTCAGTCATGATTGCTTTGGGCTCAGGCTGAATTTAAGTACATGAAAGTAGAATGCAGAATATCTGTGGTAGGATTTACAAGATAGCGTAATTTAAAAAAAAAATTTAATATACATGCATGTATATATACCATTTATTCAGGTGTTTTTCACTTTGTTTGCTTGGTTTTTTTTCTGCAGCATTTCAAACCTAACAATCCATATTTTGAGAATGAAGTTATCCACAAGGAATTCCACCTCAACGATTCAGGGGACCCATCATCACAGTCGTCGGCCATCAAGTGGAAGCCGGGAATGGTAAAACCAAATTTTGGGAATTTTGGGTTTTTTAAATTTTTGTGTTAACTAATAAAAAAATTACCACGAGCCCAAACAAAATCCAAATCTGGATTTTAATGAAGTAAATAAAAAGTTAAGTGATGGGACATAATCTCCTGATAATTATTCTGGTAAGAAATCCGCTGATTATGGGAACGACTGAAATCACCATCCCCGTCAAAATGTGGCATTGGAAACAGATATTGAATATTTTCCAATTATTCACCGTATTTGTCAATCAGAAATGGGATATGCTCACACAAAGTGTGTCCAGGAAGTTTATTCACATTGAAGAGTGTGGCATTTTTTCGTGTAAAGCACTCTAAAATTATTGTGTCCGTTGGTGTTGTTCATGCAGGTTTGTGTTTAATTACACGGTATTCACATGGGTTGAGATTCGATCCACTGTCACAGAGTGAGTCTCTGTACTGATGATGTCACACTTTGTTTACATGTGCACTTTCCTATGGAGCCAGTGGGGGCCCACGGTCCACTGAGCACCATAGGAGAGCACACACGTAAACAAAGTGTGACATCATCAGTACAGAGGCTTATTAGAAGGGTAGAAAAGTAACACAACACGAATTTGATAACCAGTCCCTATACCAAACAAGTGAATTCCTTCAGACCATATATATATGTTAAAAAGAGACATAAGTAAAATACAACGCAGCAGCCTGACTCCCCTTGTTATCTTGTCGGCAGGACTTGACCAAGAGAAACACGGCCGTCCAGCAGAAGGGCATGGCCCAGAAGAGGCCACACACGGACAGTGAGAGCTTCTTCTGTTGGTTCAATGACCACACAGATGCCGGTGCCGACGAGCTGGGCGAGGTCATCAAGGACGACATCTGGCCTAACCCGCTCCAATACTTCCTGGTAAGCCATCTTGGTCTGGTACCCAGAGGCCTCCTTGAGGTTCCTGTTTACTCCACAGCTTGGTACCTTGCTTTTGATGTCGTTAGTTTATGTGCATAAAAAAAAAACAGTTGTAATGAAGGCCCATTGATGCCATTCTGGCAGCCATCTCGGTCTGGTACCTGAGGCCTCCCCATTGGCTTCTGACTACTGCAGACCTTGGAACCTTGCCTTGGCTGACATTACTATGTATTTGTTGTTTAGCATCTGTGGAAAATTGTGTAAGGCTCCCCATTTCCCTGATGGCCAGGAGCTAAAATAATAGATTCTATTGCACAAACGTGGATCTTCAAAGACCGGATGGTTAATCTTCACCTCCCTTTCCAATTGAATCCTAAATCCAACAGTTAGAACAAAGAGGTGTTTTGGTGAATACCTATATTGTCGCGCCATGTCGAAAATTACCCGCTGTAGGATCGTGTCGGATTTAGCAGTGTTATTATTCTTAATAATACCGTGCAAATTTTTTTTTAAAAAGGTAATGCAACCAAAAGCTTGGTCGACATTTTCGTAATTGTTTTCTTCTCCTCGCTTTTAGATTCCTGACGGAAAGGACGAAGGCGATGAGGACAGTGAAGCAGGAGATCTAGATGACATCGCCGAGTATGGAGAGGAAGACGACGATGAGGACGACGATGAGGATGATGATGAAGATGATGAAGGGGAGGAGGGGCTAGAAGACTTTGAGGGAGAGGTACGTAACAGGGGAGGAGGGACTAGAAGACTTTTAAGGGGAAGTAAACGGAGAAGAGGGGTTAGACGACTTTGAAGGGGAGGTACGTAACAGGAGAGGAGGGGTTAGACAACTATTAAGGGGGAGGTACGTAACAGGAGGAGGGGCTAGAAGACTTAGAGGGAGAGGTACATAACAGGGGAGGAGGGACTAGAAGACTTTGAGGGGAAGTAAACAGGAGAGGAGGGGTTTGACGACTTTGAAGGGGAGGTACGTAACGGGAGGAGGGGCTAGAAGACTTAAAGGGGGAGGTACATAACAGGGAAGGAGGGGCTAGAAGACTTCCAGGGGGAGGTACATAACAGGGGAGGAGGGGCTAGAAGACTTGACGGGGCGGTATGTAACATGGGACTCTTCCTCCCCTCAAAGTCTTCTTGAAGACTTTGAAGGGGCGGTACGAAACGGGGGAAGAGGGGCTAGAAGACTTTGAAGGGGCGGTACGAAAAGGGGGAGGAGGGACAAGAAGAGTTGGAAGGGGCGGTATGAAATGGCGGAGGAGGGACAAGAAGACTTTGAGGGGGAGGTACGTAATAGGGGAGGAAGAGCTAGATACTTTGAAGAGGAGGTACATAACGAAGACAGGAGAGGAGGGGCTTGGAAATTTTGTTTGGGAGGTACTTGATTGGAGAGGAGCTAGAAGACTGGGTGTTATTTAAATTCTGCACCATCAAAAGCACATTTGTCTACTAATGCATGTCACAGGACCGTTCTCTGTGCAGGAACTGTATACAATGTATTAGAGGTCTGTTGAATCAAAGTCAAAGACTTTGAATGAAAGGTTTGATGAAGTTTGTCTGACACTTTCACAGGGGGATGAAGAGGATGTACCCGAGGAAGACGAAGATGAAGAGGGTGATGCCTAGAAAAACCATCTCTTAGTTTCCCAGCAACGGTTACCACAGTAACGCATCATCGTCAACACCACCACCACCAGCATCATCATGAGGAGTTGTACATTCACTATTTCTACTGGAAAATTTAAAAAAGGGGACAAATTGAATGAACTCTCCAGGAACCTTTCTCTTTAGGATGGCAAGGGGTAAGATCATACACAAAATATTGTATTTTGCTGTTGGATTGAAACACTTCACATTTTTTTGTTAGTGACCCCGCCCTGTCATCCATGATTTATTCGATGTCCTAGACTAATATTAATGTAGTAGTAAAAGCGCCATGCTGTTTGTTTGGGTTTTTTTTATTTAAGGATCCCAAACGATTTTAATTCATACAAAGCAGGTTGGATTCCAAGACTGACTTGTTAAGTGCAGGAATTTTTCTCCATCTTGAGTGGGAAATAAATGATTTTGTAAAAAAAAAGGATTGCTTATTGACGTTCAGGGATGGTACTTTTTCCGTTGTTAAACCGATTTTGACTTTTCACCGCAAACTTGAAAGTTTTGCGAGCTTTTCAGCTTTCCAGTGTTTTTTTTTTATAATTTATAGTAAAAGGTGCCACAACACACCCCCAGACTCCAATTTTGCTTTTGAATCAAGATAAATTTCGTTCCCGTCTTTTGGAGACGGGACAGCATGTTTCTCCAAAGGAAAAGTATCATCCCTCTTGTTTCATTTTTTAAATTTTTTTTTTGCTGTTAAAATATTACATGTAATGGTATCTGTAGATGAAGTAGAATAAACATTCCTCCGTGTTTGCTAAGTATGGGGCTTTATAAATTGAAGAAATCTCCACATTTCAATGATTTCTACTGACCACAGTTGCTCAGAGACACACGTTTGGTTTTTTTTTTCATTTGCACAATAAGTGTTCACAACAGTGTCAACTTAAAAATACAGATGAGGATTCAAATTGTGAGGCGACTATAGGCTCCGTGCGTGAACAAGAGGGGGCGCTTTACTGGTATAGCGCAAAGTACGCACGACCACTTTTATTCTGAAGGTGCACAAAGCCGGCCGCGTGAGCGTCAGACGTCAGTACTTGTGCACGGAACCAATAAAAATGCTTGAAAGTTGAAAGTCTGTATTACGCAGGTTTGGGTTTCATTCTTATCGAGGCAAGTGTTTTCAAGCTCTTGAAAAACACTTGATGAGTAGGCAAATCCTTCATACAAATGCTTGAATCATTTCAAAAACACAAAAAAACTTGAAATCTTTGGGGTCTGCTGTAGTTGATGTTTGATGTATGGCTTCTTTCCCTCCTATGTTTTGGTTTTCTTTTTTAGTTACAATTATTTGGTATTTTTTCCCGACTTTAATCTCAACCTCTGTCAGTTTTTGTTCCCTATAGTGTCAGGGAAAGCAAAGGGGGAAATTAAACTGCGTCTGTGTCCTTTGTGTTTTATACATAGTGTTGAATTGGAGATCGTTTTATAGTTCTCCATCGTAGAGTGCGATTCACATGTTTTTGTAATATGAGAAGAAAAATTAATTCCAAAATAAAATTGGGTTTTTGTGAATGTCATGGAAATTAGAGTGAGAACAATGTGCATTTTGCATTTGTGATTTACTGGTTGGGTTATTCTGACTCCTTTAACATTGGTGCACTTTCAAGATCATGACAACACAACTGTACAACACAAGGTATAGTAGAGTGTGTTTACAAGTCTGGTACCCATGATGTGATGACCAACTGTATAGCACTTCTGTACACGGGGATCTAGACCAAGTAGCCACTATGTCAAAACCGGCTATGACTTTGACTGGTGAACACGAACCCAATGACAATTGTAGCCAGAGCCACTGACAAATTATTGGCTTCACACTCTGTGTTTTGTAGTTTTGTAATGAAATTATCAAGTCTCCAGAGTTCAATATTTGTTGCATCAACAGGTGGATATTTTATGTGAATTGCAGAGCTTTTGATAATCTTAGCTTTGGATTCGTGCATATCAAGAATCTCATTGGAAATCACATAATTAAAAAGATGATGTCCAAAATTTGCCGAAGTCAAAACTTCGAATCACTCTTCTATTTTCTCCAATCAACTGAAAATCAGATGCTACCCATTTGAAATTTGAAGACAATTCACCCAACTCCCCCCTAGGACAAACCATCGTTCTGTAATTTAGCTTATCATATTCACTCTACCTCCATTAAAGATTCTTTTTGTAATTGGTGATTTGTTAAACTGTCCTAATGTATAAAAAAAAAATAACACCTCAAATCTTTGAACCAGTTCTGGCCCATCAACCGAACCCATAATTGAAATGAAAAAAGGGAAATGTCAAATGTCTGTAAATATGGTGACTTATTACTAAGACTAATGCTTAAGGTTGTGTTATGAACTTGAAATCTTGAAGTCATGTTGTTCATGTACATGTCTTACACTTTTGTCAACGTTTTGATGGGAGGTATGTCTATGCATTCTCTGTGCGTTCAGTCGAATAAAAACAACAAAATACTCGGAAAAGCGTTCAACCCAGAATTATTTTGGACCTTTTGATTTTTTGGTGTGTTTACGTGTTTTTTTGGTTAGATTTTTTTAACCGGAGTTGATACCTCAAATAATAAAGAGCCGCACCGTCTCGTAATCTTTGAAAGTGTCAACATTATTTATTTTTCTGCCAGATTGGAAGTTTGTTTAATATTTAAATATAACTTTAGACAGCAATATCAAGAATTTTCCTTTGAAAACATCTTAGCTTCAGTCAGTATTTATCTAATTCCAAGCACTGCTGATTTAAACATCCTCGAGATCAAGTTCTGTATCTTTAAGACAAATTCATAAATACCCGAGACAGTTTACCATTTCCTATTGGTCGAGAGCCCCGTCAAGAGCCGGAAATACACTGCTGCGTTCTGCGCCACATCTCACAGTACGCAACGTGCACACTAATGTCCATATAAGGGGATTTTAGCACTACGCACGCAAGGCACATATAGACATGGCCAGAGGGGTATTTCACAAAACATAAAGTAGAATGATTGAACAAAATTGTTGGAAATTTTTAATTTTTGATGTGTTGCCTTTTTTTAACAGAAAGGTATTTATAAATGGGAATAAATATTTGTTTGGCTGGTATTAAACATGTTTAAAACTGGCTAGGGGCTGAGACATGAACCTCGCCTTCAGCTCGGGCCAATATTTGCAAGCACATACCTAGTCTCTTATTAACCCTCGTATGCAATCATACATTCTGTGCAAAGTAGTCTTTGCAGTCAATAAAGTGACTTCAATAGTTCAGAGCTCCCAGCCTACATAAAGCAAGATTGACTGGCTGTGACTGTTAATGTAACTTGATACAGCTATGCTTTGACTGTATGTGATTGATAAGCCAGCTGTGCCTACCACTTGGCTGCTTTTGCCAGTTGGCTGAATTTGACTAGTCACAGTGCTTGCTTGAAATATGATCTAACCGTTAGTGACTAGCCCTTGTAAAAGGCATGGCAGGGGAAGAGGATTGATTTTTTTGACTGTCTGTGACTGTTCAGATAGCAGGAGGATTAAATAGCTCATAAACTGATTGCAACATTCTATATACATGTACATGTACTATGCATTGCACTCCCATGCAGCGACACATTTTATTTGAAGCCCCCCCCCCCCTCCACCAGCATCAAACCCCGCCCTCCACATCTAGTCAGCAATCATGATGTTGGATGTAGGTTGTCCTGACAAAGTAGAAACCTCAGAACGTCTGTTGGTCTCAAAATGCAGGTGCTTCCAATGACCACCTGTGTTGTGTGGAGAAAAATAATTGAAAGTGATTTGTACTTATTCTTTTTATCACTCTACCCATTCAAGATTGAACAAAGTTATCCCAAGAGGTGTTTACAGCACAGAAATTTGCAGATCTCGGAAAAGCAGCAAATGCTGTTTTTTTTTTGCATATGACCAGTTCTTGCAAGCATGTTAATCTGTTAAGCCACAATATATTATCATCTCTTTAAAATTGGCTCAAACCAAATAGTTACCCTTCCCTTCCAAATGTTAAACCCTCCCCCTCCAAATGATTATGATTATTCACCCTCATGAACAGTCCATTTGGTTAAACTACCCCCACCCCCAGCGCCAACCCCTATGCCCACCCCCAGTGTCCACCCCCACTCTCCACCCCCTACCCCAGTCCCCACCTCAGTTCCCACCCCAGTCCCCCAACCCCAGTTCCCACCCCCAGTCCTCACCCCAGTTTCCACCCCCAGTTTCCACCCCCAGTGTCCATCACCCAGTCCCCACCCCCAGTCCCCACCCCCAGTCCCTACCCCACTTTCCAACCCCAGTCCCCACCTCCAGTGTCCACCGGCCCCCAGTGTCCAACACCCAGTCCCATCCCAGTTCCCACCCCCAGTCCCCCCCCCCCCCCCCCCCCCCCCTCCCCCAGTGTCCAACCCCCAGTCCCCACCTCCTTACCTGCATGTTTGGGGAGTGGCTAGCCACGGTCTCCTTGATCGTTCTGACCTCTGAGCAAGTAACCCCGCCCAGGACAAAGGCGATCAACAGAGGGTGGTCGCTGGGCCGCGGCTTGCTCACATTCACAAAAAATCTGAATCAGAAAGAGATGGAAATTTATTAGCAAAGTAACAGAAAATCAATGGAGTAATTAATCACACAGATACGTTGCATAGCATCAAGTCACATTTTGACCAGCTCCTAACAACAGCCACTGTTGCAACCTCAGTCAGGTACCTTCCTAAGTTAAGACAACAATTAATTATCTTTCCTAGCGGGAGGGGGACTAGACCAAATCCTGAAAGTGGGATCAATTTTTTTGAGGAATCGAATAGTATTTTGGTTAAATATTAACAAGCTTCATACTTCCTAAAAAAAGAAAAACAAGATTAAATTGCAATTGGAAATTTTAAGTCTTATCAACGTTTTGAGAAACACAAGATTTAAAGGCTAGAAACTAGATTCAAGGGTAGATATGGGAATAAGCAGAACGACCCTGGAAATGCCCATTTATCAATCAATAATAAATATTTCAAAGTATAAGAAACTGATCAAATGAAAAAAAATCTGATCTAAGGCAAAAAAAAAAAGTCTCCGGTTTCTGGTATGGAGCTTGCCCAAAAAGTGGTGCGGCGACGCGGCTTTTTTTTTTTTTTTACCTGATTTTTTTGCTTCAAATGTCGGCTGATGACTGCAAATGGTGCCCGACTAAACTTAGTGCAAATATATCGGAGTCCAGAGAGACCACATAAAGCTTATTCTCGACCATAACCCAATCTAAAAACACGTTAAAATTGTGCAGCAGCAGGATTCCAGTCAAACCAGTGAGTTTGGCGGTTTTGAGACATCATCTTTCATTGAAAAAAAAACTTTTTTATTTTGCCGACGCGCATGGCTACGGCGACGCGCGCGCATACCAGAAACCGGAGACTTTTTTTTTTGGCCTAAGCATCACCTGAAGCCGGTTTTGATGAGGTCCCTGAGCCCCGTCGACTTGTACTCAACATCTGGGAGTTCAGGCTTGTTGGGGCTGAAGATCGCTTCCAGGACTTGCTTGACAAAGGGGTTGTAGGAAGCCGGTGCCACCATGCTACCGTGATCAAAAATGGACCTGGATGTAGGAGAGAAAAGGTTTCATGTTGTACACGGGATCATGGCAACGGTGAAGATCGGGAGCCTTAGAACAACCCAGTTCCCAAGATCTGCACTGGTATTTCGTTTAACCATAAGTCTCCTAGATCCTTCCAATTCCACCAAGATGTTTTGAAAGACTTTTGTCTGAACTACATTGTGTCATTAGGTTCCTATGGATTGGAGGATTCTGGAGGATCCAGGAAGACTCCCCGCAAAACACCAAGAACCATAATTGTTGTAGTCGCGGCTATCACAAGTCCCTGCAAATCCTCGCAAGTGCATCACAAGTCCTCCAGTCCCCATTCATATCACAAGCTATTCAAACGAGCTTTGACAAAGCATTCCACTGTTATTGTATGTCCACTATCCACTTTTGTGACTGGACTTTTGATTAACTTGCGACTGGACTTGTGATGGACTCGACGACAACACTAGGAACCAATGCAACCAATGTTGCTTAGCTCTCAGATTAACTTCCCTTCCATTGCATGCCTCTCTGTATTTTCATTGTGCCAATCGAACAGAACTGCAATCACAAAATCACTTAATCAACTTAATCAATACCTAATGAATCCCTAATGACATTTTCCAAGAATCCCTTTTGATATAAGACATTTGACAAAAAAACTTAGAGTAAAAAGGTCAACCCTAAAATTAACCCAGAATTTGAACAGACAAGGGCGATATGCCTGCTGTACTGACCTGAATTGCTGCAGATGACCCCTGGACTTGCCGATTGACCTCAGCTTATTGAAGAGTTTATTGACTGCTTCTCTGACTGAGTCTTCCGAATGTGTCTCCCCGACTACAAAATAACCAACACATCTAAGAATAAACACTGCAGACTTTGGGTGAGTCGTGTTTTCCTGTCGGCCAACGCATAGTGCTTTAACAAAGCAAGCCTGTGCGTGGCTTGTGCACGTTCAGAATAAAATTTGTCAAGTGTACTCTGCTGTGCGCACGTGATCCTGTGCTCGCACCCAGTGTGTCCAACGCTGGACCTCTTTTGAGTGGTCACGAAGCGAGTGTCGATGCGCAGAGTCCATACTGAAATATAATGTGGTGTAGTATTACTCAGACCTGGAAACCTACATATGTGTGGTCTAGGTATTTTGGGCATTAGATAATGGGTAGGGCTATGAATAGAGGAAGATCGGCGACTGTGTAGTTTAACACTAAGTCAACAAATTACAACGGAACGGTCCCAAGACGTACCAAATTGTGTAATCAATTCTGAGGGCGCCTTCTGGGCCAGGATAGCCTGGACTAGCAGGCTCTTCAAGCTCCTCTCATCTGCATCAAAGCTGACACCGTCATCTCCTGCTAGGGAATAGGCAAAGACCAGCAGGAGAAGTATGGTGTCCAGGCTATGGGACCTGAGGCAGGAGAAAGACAAAAGATGAGCCTGCGTAACTGGCAGCTGGAGAGCTGGAACTATCAAAAAAATTAATTGGCAAGCCCTGGGTAGAACAAAGCAGCAGATCACATATAGAAAGTTAGCATTGTACAGGGTTTGAGTAACTCTTCATAGGGATCTATGTTTTCTGTTGGATCTGCTTCTCAGATTTGTCCCTTAAGCTTAAAAGAGATCAACTTTCAAGGGCATCAATTAAGCCCCATGCCATCTTTTTCTCAGACCTCCCAGTCTTTTTTTTCAGGATCTGGGAGGGTAAGTAAAATTTTCTCATCCATCTTTCTTTTCAATTTGTTTAAAAAGTTTGTTGTGTAGCTCTGTTGGAGTTACACAACACCCTCGGCAATTCCCAAACAGTCACCACACTCACATCTTCTCCGTCTGTCCTTTCTCCAGGATGGTGAGTATCTGGTCCAGGCTTGGTGCCCCTGCATCATCCCCCATCCCTTGTAGGAGGAGCTTCTCAGCACTAAGGCTGCCCTCCCACTCTGCCTGGCCTGGGTGGGTGAGGGTCTCAACACAGGCGGATGCAACCTGCAGCAGGCCCAGGTTCCTGCGGAGTGCATCTGGATTGTTCCTGTACAGAGCGAATCGGAGAAGGAGAGAACAGTTCCAAGAAATACAGAGAGCTATTCTAAGCCAGTGGTTGGCATTTTTTAAAGGTTCATCGATGGTTTAAATCACGAAAGGTTCATCAAAGGTTGGAATCATGCTGCCGACTTTGCATTGTGTCCTTAGGCAGGGCACTTTACTTGAACAAGCTTACCCTCTCCAATGGCCTAGAAAGTGAGTCAAATATTTGAAACGGATCAATTTTGTAGCAGTGGATGTAACTCAGATTTCAACTGCATGATTTCAGGTTTTCAGTATCAAGGACTACTTTTCTTATGAATTATGAATATCCATATCATTGGTTGGATGAACAGCGCTTGCTACAGGAAGCCTATGCCCAGTACGTTTTTTTTTTCAAATTGTATCAACATAAGAGATAGGCAGTTGAAGCAAACTATGTTGCTGAGGACACAAGCCATACCTGACCCCCGGCTGTGTTTTAAACCCTCATTTGAAAGACTGGCATCATTCACATTAGACCTCAGTGTAATCAACAAGTCAAATATGAACCAAAGGCAACCTTGTGTGTAGCGACAATACAATAACTCACTTGAAGAGTTGTAGATGTGTCTGTAAGGTTTCCGGACCGACACGCCCTATTTTCCCGCCGATTTTCAGGGCAGTTTTTCCTTGGAGATGCTGTCCACTAGCTGCCTGTTGACATCCATTACGCTCTCCTGAAAATAACCAAACAATGCTTTTCCCGATAATCTTTTTAAAACTGTTGATGGGGGATGCTTCGAAATACTTTTGGAAAAAAGTTAAATCGTCTGCATGATGAGTTGAGAATTTCCAAAAAAAGTTATATTGTAGGCTGCTCCATTTCAATAACGATTATCTCGGGGAATGGGCGTGAGTGTACAAAGGGGAACATCCACAATACTGGTCAGCATCATACATTATTAAAGATTGGACTACATGGCATGGTTATTCCAAGAAGCTTCTCAACTCCCTCTGGAATAAACCAAACCGTTACCATAATCTGTCACACATTCGACTACTTCTGGGTGCAGAGTTGCACAACAGCATAGACTCAACTGAATCAGAACTAAGAATATATATCGCATACATACCTTCTGTTTTGTGGTAATCAGAGTGTTCAGGAGTGATTGCGAGGTTGGATCGGCCGGATGAGACAAACATCCCGGATATATCACCTGTGATGAACCTGGCTGCTCTCTGAGTAAGTTTGAGCAAAAGTGTTTCAGTTGAAAAAAAAAATTGGCTGCCTAAAACACCCTTTTTATTTGAACAAGCTCGATCGGATCTCGGAAGCTGCGGGCCAACGAATTCGTGTTCATGCATGAGTCACGTGATTGTGCCACCTAATTTCTGGAAGGAGGAGTGTTTTGAGTAAAATATCAGGTGTTTGACCCCAGTGACCCCATGATGACCTTTGACCCCAGTTTGGTCATGTGACATGTTGGGGCTGGGCTACAGATACTGTTGACACAGTTTGGTTGAAATCGGTCAAAATATGTAGGAGCAATGGATTGTCAAATAAACCTCAATGGCAAACTAACTTGTTCTGACTGCATTCTAAATTCAATAGAACAGAAATCAGGACGGAACCAAACTACAGAAGACCAACCGACTAAAACATAGTAAATTAAATGTATCTGAATATTATAATTAAGTGCAATGATGAAAATTAACTGGAAATAGCTAGGGCTTCAACAAGAGTTCAAAGACGCCCTACATAATAATCTCAAAAAACATTTTGCATACCCTCCTAATGAGAACAAATCAGCCATATTGACAGTGACGTCTGTGTTGTGCCCCGGCAGGCGATCCAGATGGGACAGGATTCGGTCGGCTAGAGTCTCTCGACTGAGGTGGCTGGCTGCACCGGCTAGGTCCAGCGCCCTGTCTATCAGGAGGATGGAGGCTCTGTGCTGAGCTGCCTGGAGTGCGAAAAAACGGTTGAATTAGAACACGACCATGAACAGGACCATTCGGTGACTAATGGACTTGCACCTCTGCAATAATGTCTCAAGCCAAAACAATGGTCAAAGCACATCATCATAAAACTTCTTGATCCTGGCTACCTCCTGTGCATTATGATGTGTGTGGTTATTGTCACCAGCAATGCGACCAACCTCGCGGTGGGCTGGTCTTATATAGTCAACTACAGACTAGTCCAACTATACTTATCTAGCATGGGTTCGAGCAAAGATAGTCTAACAATAGTTAACCAAAGTTCTTGCTCGAAACTTGCTTTTGGTTTAACGTTGTGGTTATAAGAGCTCCGTGCACAAGTACCCCCTCAATGGTAAAAATGGAAAAGAGTGACAACATTGAAGGACCATTGGGCGCCATCTTGTCTCAGACAGGCTGGTATACGTACATTTGATCAACCGTAAATTGCACTAGTGCGTGTGAACCAGTGAAGTGTTCTTCGTATAATATATACTCTCATTTGTATGTTACACAATGTTACTCTGAATAACATGGTTTACAGCAGCCAAACTTGAACAAGGGATAAATTCTCTCAAAGCCGACTGACATTAATTGCCGATTGATTACGTTTTGAAGGCCCATCAGAAATTGACAGTATTTGTGTTTTGGAATTTCCATACCTTCCTTCTAGCCTTTGCTGAAGGCAGTGCGGCTAGCTCTGTGGCTACCAGCCGGCTGGTGTGACCAATGGCATACACGTCCTCGTTGACTTTCAGCTGCTCGCAAAAACTGCTGATACCGGAGACTAGCATCTGTAGAAAGAGAATAACCGATGGCAATGGTAGAGTGTCTATCTCATTTTGTTAATGTTCAGTTAAAAATTTGAAACTGCAATGCTGTAACTTTTTCCAGCATGAACATACATTATTCTGGACCCAACATCTACAATGGACATGAAGTAGACCAGACAAATTAAAGTAGCTCTTGTTCTTGCTCAGAGCTCATACGGACAAAACTATAAAAAGGTTATACCGTCATGTAGGGTCCAAAATTAGTTTCTAAAACTTTGCAACTCTGTTTTGTTGTTTTCATGACCCATTCACAAATTTCCCGTGAAAATGTTTAAAAGCATACACGTGATGCGATCAAGCTACATGAGTCGTTTGTTGAACCTGGTCAAAAATTTATTTATTGCGAATTTCAAAAGAGCACAATCTCAGCATTACTGCTGTGAAAACCGCATGCTGGTACCATCTTTAGTTCAAAAATTACGGAAGTCGGAACAACAAGAGATGTGATGAAGTGATGTGATGAAGTGACCCTATTTTGGCCTGTATCTCATAAAAATTCCTGACAAATGACTCATTTAGCTTGATCGCATCACAATAGGGGGGGGGGGGGGTTAACAGTGAGTGGTTAAACCACAGACTTCCCCCCCCCCCCCTCCTCCCATCCCGAACTAAAATATAGGGTTCCTTGCAATTTAAACCAAATTTTTTAAAACCAGAACAAATAGAGTTACCCCACCTTCAGTTGTGTCTGGAGAGCTATGGGTAGCATATGAAGCTCAATATCATCAAATTTATCTGATGACTTGTCTCCCTGTAAAGGAAAAAAAAATTTAAAAATTGAGAAACGTTGTCGGGGATAATTACCCTGGCAACTGAGCTTTCCCAGATTCCTAGGGGATTATCTGGAAATCACAATGCCGTGTGCAATTTGGATCAATCTCAAAATTGTGTCCTTTCTTAAGTGAAACTTAACTGGTTCCCTTACCCTGTTAACATTTTACATAATCTACGTTTACCAGTCTGCCTATGCAAGATGTCATCCAATGGTCCTTCAATATTGGCACTCTTTCTGAGGCCAAGTAAACAAATACACCAGTTTCTCGACCCCGCCCGCTTCCTTTATTTTTCCTGGTCACCTCCTTTTTTTCCTTCCCTTTTTCATTTAAATCATATCTTTGTATAATTTTTGTCTTTTTATGTGTTTCCACTGAGTGAAATTGTATCTACGTCCAAGTTCAAATACCTTTTCTTTTTCTTTTTTAACTTTGCCTAACTGTCATTGTTAAGGGAGTACTTGTCCGCTAAATGCATATATAGGTCCCCTTTGAGAGGAGATGAGAAGAACCACTTACCCTATTCTCTCTGTTGTCTTGAACTTTGACCAGGTCAGAGGTCAAGAGGGGAAACATGGTACTGTAGGCAGGTACAACAAACAGGCTGGGGCAGAGTGGCGCAGCAAAAAGTGGAATGTGGAGAACTTGTGCTTCAGCAATCTGAAAAAAATGTATGGACAATGTGAGTGTGTTATGAACATGGTGTAGCTGGAAAAACATCGTAATCAGGTCCTCACAAGTCAATCATAAGACAATCATAAGTCAATCACAAGACAATCACAAGTCAACCATATTTCATTGTCATTGTTCATCCCCTGTAAATTGTAATAAAGAGACTTATTTGACTTAGGATTTGACTTGTGACTGGAGCTATGATTGGCTTATGACTGGACTTGTGATTACCTTGTGATGACTTGTGATGGACTTGTGATTGATTTGTGACACGGCTTGTGATTGACTTGTGATGGACTTGTGATTGATTTATGACTGGGCTTGTGATTCACTTGTGATGGACTTGTGGTGACTTGTGATGAACTTGTGATGACTTGTGATGGACTTGTAATTGTGATGGACTTGTGATGGACTTGTGGTGACTTGTGATGGACTTGTGATGACTTGTGATGGACTTGTGACTGTACCCGGGATGGACTAGTGATTTACTTGACTGCAATTCCAAGGATACCGACACACAAATTGCCACGGGTCAGTGTTAAGCTATTAATTTCACCACCAGCATCGGCAACACTTGTCTATGACAACAGTAAATACCAGGAGAAAAAAGACAAAAAAACAGACACAAGCTCAACTTACTGGGCCACCCATCCACTTCCGCAGCTTGTTTTCAAACTGTCCAAAGAGGGCGCTCTCTGCTGAGCCATCACCTAGACCCTCTCCGAGGAGATGTATATGTAGCGATTGAGGCACAGCTGTTATGACAATGCAGTATTGGAAGTCACTGGCCTGCACAATATCCTGACGATACAAGCAATAAGCAAATCTGGACATTCATTTTTTATAGCCGGTAATTATTTTGTTCACTATGAGGTTTTGATTGTCAAGCATTTCTAACATGCAATCAAACACTATCTTGTTCACAATGAAATCCACTCACTCAATGTGTGCATGACTAGGTGTTTCGATTTCAGAAACTTGCTGAAAAGGAAATATTAGCAATATCATAGCAATGTGCAAATTGGCAAATTTCACAAGCCGTTTTTGATGAGTGCTTCAGCCAGGAACAAGCCCATCCATTCAGTATACCAATGAAAAGTAAAGGGAGTCATGAAACTACAAATTCAGACAAAGATATTAGATAATGAAGCGTTTATTTTTCTTTTATTTTTTATTGCTTTTTGTAAGTTATCTTTCATAATAAATGAATTTTAATTTCACAATATCATACCTTGATAATCTCCTCCACAGTGTCAGCCAACAAACCGCTCACAATAAATACTGCCTTTCTCTGCTCTGGTGTTGCGCTCTGATAAAAAAAGAACAATATTTAGCTTTGGTTAAAAATGGACTTAGCTTCTTCTGCCACTCTTTCCAATCTCAGGACATTGGGAAGGAAGGCTAGGGATTTGTTTGGTTCTTGACTGCTACTCTTGGAAGAAACTGCAAAATCCATTTTGGATTTCACTTTTGAGTTTTCTCTGCTCTCACCTCAAATGATGAGAACTCCTTAATATTGACGGCTCCCGCACGGAGAAGCATCCCTCCTCCGATGCACCAATGAAGGCACTCTGCCATTGGGTTATCAACGAATACCACAGCTTTGCTGACATGATGGCACACCGTCTCCCAGCCTACCCGGCAGCTGGCTATGAGGCTCCTTGAGGTTGCCATGGTAATGCCTCTTGGTTCCTTCAAGACTAGGGAGCTCTGATGAGGACCTTTATATTTCTTTAATGCTGAAAATATTGAAGGTTCATGTAAATTAATTGTTACAAACTGTTGACATTTTATCAGTATTTGATTTGTGTTGAAATGAAACAGTACAGTTTTCATTTTTGGCCCAAGTCACTGCAATAAGGCAAAATTAAAAAAAAAAAAAACATGTGTAGCGTCCTGCCTTTTTGAAAAAAAGGAAGCGTGGAGGCCCTTTTTTCCCCTCCAAAATGGCCGCCCGACAAGACTATTTTTCAAGATGGCCGCCAGTTTATTTTTTAAATGGCCGCCATTGGACTTGGGAAATGACATACCAGCTTTATATGGGCTAGATGCAACCATGGAGGAATCCTCCATGATGCAACAGACAAAGAGGCCAAAATGATGTCACTGGTTTTTGGTTGTTTTTTTTTTGTTCTTTTAAAACTTTTCTTTATATTTTTTATGTTTCATAATCAAATCTTATTTTTTATTGAAGTAGATTTCATTTTTTTCTTAGTGATCTGTGGCTTTGGAGGATTTTTAAAGAAAATTAAAAGTCCGAGAACCATTCGCTTGATAGGCCTACTCTGGTTCCAAGAGCCAAAGAACCTGACGATGAATACTGCTGCCAGGTCAGGGAACCTGACGGTTGACTGCCACTAGTATTAGTATTAACAATAGCCACATTGCATTTGTGACATTATACAATGACTTTATTCATGTCATTACACTTTACAACACTGTCACTGCAAAAATTAAACTACACATTAAACACTGATTAACTTTTGTTCATCACCGCCAAACAAATTGACAAAGCACTTAGTTACACTTACACTTAGGATTGATGGGTGTAATTTACAGGTTTAAGCCTTTTAACCCCATATCCATTTTCTTTGCTTTTAAACTGGTTGTTGTCTTTGCGTTTACCACCTCTTCTCTGGAAGCCCGTTCCACATCATCAACAAGCATATTATCAAGCAATTGTACAGCAGTAAATCACTTAGGCACGCTACGAACTTGGTGACTCTATTTCCTTCAAATAACCACACCACAGTGCAGAATATTTTAAGCAGCAATTACTGTGGGGTAAAAAAATCTTCGTACGTTTAATTGATATTTGTGTTTACCTTATGGAGGCTGCCATGTTGGCTTGTCTGGTTTCCTTTCAACTTTTGCTGTGATTTTACACACCCACGGAATGAAACCCGACTACTGAGTACTAAACTACGGTGTCCTTGAATTAACGTGTCAGCATTAAATTATTTTGTATAATGATAGAGTGGATGAAAATACAACTCTTATATGACCAAGATTGAAACTTCTTGTGCAATACGTATGGGCAGGAATGGACATTGTGTCAGACACATATATTGTATTACATACATGTATCCAGAGGTGGATGTACATGTATGTAGCACTGCAAGTGCGTGGGGCACTATCATCATCACCGAAAGGGGGCGGGGTGGGGGGGGGGCTCAGAAATTATAAAATTGGAGGGGGGGGGGGAGGTAACATGGATGTCCAACTTCTGTAAGTCACCATCAAAAAGGTGTAACCAGTGTGACAGTTCATTGCAGAAGAATTGTACCCTTTGTCCGACTTCAATAGAGGGCAATAACCGTCAGAATGTCGGTTCCAATATATAAATTATAACACCATTTTTTTGGCCCTACTGACATTTTGTTGGTGTCAATAACCGGATTATTTTACAAGTCGACAGACCAAGGTCGATCGTGACGCGAATAATGATGTCACTGCTCGTTCAGATTACACAAAACTTAATTAAGTCTGGAAGTACGAAATATGATTGCCCGTACTTTGTACCACTTTTTTAATCACGGTAAAAATCGTGGTGCGCTCTGTGTTACAATGGGTCCAATCATTGCTGCCCCTGAAATCGACACCATTTTTCAACGAGTACTTGGTGTAACGAGATGGCAATAAGACGCCTTCCTGTATAGGATATAGCGATCCTTGAGAGAAATTAAAGTTCTCTACCCGTGCTGTCCATTCGATTTTTTGGTTCTACTTACAACATTTTCAACCGTCCAAAAATATGAATCTTTTTTGTCTTGCTTTGGCGCCCATAATGCATAAAAGATAAGCCTGAGTTATTGTTGGGCCTTAGATGATTCGATGTTTGTTATTCAATAACTAAACATGAGCGGATTGGTTTTTCTCGATGTCTCAATCAAAAGAGAATAACTTTTGCATTGCTAGAAAAATAGCAAATTAAAAAAACAAAATCTATTTTCCGAGGTGAAACTCGAAAATAGATTACATAGAGCCATTACGCCTGCACAGAACTTAAAGGGAATATACAACATTTGCAAACATTTAAAAATAAAACTACCAAGTTTTTACGAAATACCTTACTAGGATGTTGGTAAATGACAGTCTCAAGCATCTTGTAAAATTATGGCATGTGGTGTGAAGTCATATTCAAGAAAATGGTATTTTTGTATACATTTCCAACGGTGGTCGGCCGACCAGCGTTGGAAAAACCTAACTATTTTTCAACTACTGCTCCAAATTTACCATTTTTCAGTCCAAATTTTGTTTGCTATCGGTTACATGTTCATGAACGGGTGCAGGCCAGCTAGACTGGTTCCCTTGCCTTACAATTTTCCATCATCTATAAATTGATCCATTTTATCTTTTGTGGAGTCAGGGAACCAGACTACTTGAACATTTTTGTTTTTCTTGGTTTTTCCAACCTTTTCGAACACAAAACTTCACAAATGTCAGTGTAACAATATTTGATCTATTATACTAACCCCTTGAATAGTTCATTTCCGAAAATTACAGCAAAAGCAAATGATGTACATTCCCTTTAACTACAAGAGCAACATTAAAAGGGGCGGGGCTTTCATACAAAGAAGGGAGATGCGATGATGTACATGTAAAAGGCACATAACACTTCCTTCTGTTGGGCAGAGGTGGCCCCGGAAAAAAGAAGGGGGACTTATCTTTTTAAAAAAATATGCGAGAAGAAACTTCACAAGTTTTACAGGATTTGGGCGATTACAACCAAGTCTGCTGGAGAAGATGGTTCGAATTACATATAGGGTTTAAATTGACTTTGTGAAAAATCAAATATCTCTAAAAGGAAACTTTTCTGTATAAAACCTTACCTGCAACAGTGTTTTGACAATAGCGACTCCAAGCGAAAAACAGACTGCACGGGTATACGATTTTCTTCAATTCCAGAAGAACACGCAATCCCAGCCTAGGCTTGTTTTTGAAACATGAGAAAACATTTTTACTGGAGGAAATATATAGGGGAACCCCAAAAAGCATTATGTTTGTCATCACGAATCACTCGACCTTATTTTGAATGATAACCTGATACATCGCGCGGGATGACATTTAAAGTCATGTGCACGACTCGCGCGATATCACAAACACCTTGCGCAAACAGCTTGAACATCACAATTAACAAGACCCACTCTGAATTCGAATCCGACAGGTGTACAATGTACATACCCGCGTGCTATGTGCGGATGCGGAATCTGCAGGTCCCCCCCCCCATGTAGTTTACGCTGCCGACTGGGATTTGCTCTATTAAGTTTGCAATATCTGCAGTTTCAAATTTCAGTTGAATCTGAAGTCCAAAGGAGATGATTTTCCTTTCTCTTATTCAATTTACAAGTTGCATGTGCTTGGGAGGAAACAAATGCATTATTCTTATTATCGGTGAAAGAAGGTCTTCTCTGTTATAAGAAAGGGGACAAATCGCCAATAGACCTTATTCAGTACGGAGGAGTCAATAGGCAGTGGTTTTGTATCGCTAGCATAGGCGAGAGCAAATTGTTCATTCATTGATAATTTAAAATTGAAATAACAATGGATACCCTCTAAGACACCTGCAACGCATAATAGTGATAATGCTTCATAATAAAATCGACATCATATTTGTATAAGATTTGATGATTCATGCTTCGTTTTACAAAATTGTCCTTCTCTGCGACGTCAATAATTTACACAAGATGAGTTTGTTGAGATTTACACGTGGTCATTGCACGCCATGACAATGAACGAGGTTATTTATTTTTCTTTGGGAAAAGCGTAGGACTCCTGGTAAATCAGCGGGCCTGAAAAACCAATTACTTGCCGCATAGTAAATTTCTTGCCCACACCATTGTTTATTATCACAGTAGGCCTATGCCATTTTTAGCCGTCTTGATATTTTTACGATTGAGAAATAACTTGATAGAATGAAAAACACCGAAGTGTAAATGGTTATACCGCATTATAAGAGTTAAATTCGGCTGCCTCACTAAAACATTCATTCAAGTCACACTGTCATAAAAAGCCAACACCTGTACATTGTAGGCCTATACCCTTCCAGGAAAGATTTATTTTCGGTGCAACGGAAAATAGCATCTTTATTTTTTGCATGGTTTCAAAGACAATTCAAAGTGCCAAGCCAGAAATTGTCAACAGCGACTTCATTCAGTCACCACCCGTAATTTTGTTACAACTTTCCGCGCAGCGTCCAAGCTTGCCGTTAATTACTTGACTTCCTCCTGGTTTGCCCGTACCCGTGCGAGCCTGTGGAAAGTGTATAATAAGTTCATTTCAGATTTTGTTTTTTTGATAAAATAAAGATGTCCTGGGGAAACAAAAAACAGCAAATTACTTGGATGCACAGTCAACGGGATGAGGGTCTTACGTTCACGCGATATTCGCAGGCGTCACTGAGCGTAACTTGGAGCCAGGCCTCGAGGGTTGAACGACTCCACAATCCCCGGTGACGACGCTCACAATTTGCCCCGGTGTTAAAAGACACGGGCAAAATAGAGTCGGAAAACGCGAAACACCACGCAAGCAGTGCGTTTCACCGGTTTTCATTATTATGATGTTATCAACACCCACGCCCGCCGAGAAACTAGTATAAAGAGCCCAGAAAAGCGAGCATGAAAACAAATTAAGAGACTTTTGGGCGTCGTGATCAGAAGAACTGATGCGGCATCTCCGGTAAAGCAACGGCCTCATCTAGTTGGAGTTTCGCGCTACCTGACCTGCTCGTTACTCGTGTAACCCACAAGAACATCACCGGATAGTGGCAAGACTTCCAGGTAAGTTGCCTACCACACGGTGATTAGTCATAAATGGTGTCACAGGTGTCACTTTGATGACTTTTAAGAAACTTTAGTTATAGGCTAGGTTATTCAAGTTCCCCACACCTGACTTATACAAGGGCGGATCCAGAACACAATTTTTTGGGGGACCAAAAAAAATTTTGGTCCCCCCCAAAAAGTGGGTCAAAAAAATTACGGCGTGGGGTTCGGGGCCCGCTTAAGGGCCCCGAAATTTTTGTGGATTCTAGATGCTCTGTGGTGCGATCTGAGGCAATTTCTGACCACTTTAACCAATGTTTTTTTGAGGAAAAGATGGTGGTGTACCCATTGCCTGCCTTTATTGCGATGTCACATAAAAAAAAAAAAAAATTGGTTTCGTTTCGGGGGGGGGGGCGGGGCATGGCCCCCTTTGCCCCCCCCCCGGATCCGCCCTTGGACTTATAGTCGAATCTAGGCACGTCACTTCTTGAACAGGGTGAGTCAAAAAGAAAGTGACCGAATTAGAAAAAAAAAATTTAAAAATATGTGCCTCGCCCCATTTCATAAAAATAACATAGGGATTGACTAGTAACTGTGAACATTTCACGTAATTGGCGTACTCTATTCCCAAGTTCGGACTATTTAAAACAAAATCGTCTGTCCGCCACCGATAATTTACCTTTTTACGAACAGATGAATAGCCATTCAATACAATGAAACACGGACATTTTCCCACCTCCATGAAGGAACGAACATTTGCAAAGGAAAAAAAACCCAAAAATCGCCGTCAATAATTTAGTAAACTTGAAGAATTGACTTGTTCCTCCCATTCAGAACTCAAAATCTGACAGTAAAAATAAATTTCAATATTAACTTAATGATTAGAATCCCTTTTGTATTTGCATGCCTGTGTGTAATCTGTTATTCTCACTCAGCTCAATAGCTTTCAATGATATTCCATGGATGGCTCAAATGTAGTTTCTTATAGTAAAACATAATTGTATGACGTCTGATAACATGGAACAATTTCAGTAATTCTGTATTTTTGTTCAGATGAGTGAAAGAACGTGCTCTTCTAATAAATACTTCATCTTTTGTGTCAAATTTGAAGAAAAAAATATTAAACCAGGGCCCAATTTCACGGCGCTGCTAAGCACAAAAATTTGCTTAGCACAAAAAAGTCTGGCTTATAAAAGCAGGTTATCCGCCAAAACTCCATGTGATTTTCATGCTAAGCAAACAACAGCTGAATACTAATCACGAACAATATACATCACGTGGAGTTTTGGCTGGTAGCCTGCTTTTATAAGCTAGACTTTTTTTGTGCTAAGCAAATTTGTGTGCTTAGCAGCGCCGTGAAATTGGCCCCTGGTCACTTCTGTAGACTACACACACATGGCCCCTCCATAATTCTTCCTCGTTCTCCATAATACATGTACACTGACCTGGAGCCAGTGTAGTCGCAAAACGAATTTGTTTGTGCCTCCAAAAAATACCTTTTTGTTTTGCAGAATAAGACATACACATTAAAAATCTGTTCAAGATCGAGCACAGGGAACGCACCTTAAATTAAAGCATGCTTTTAAGTTTTGTATTTTTTCCCCCTTTTTTCACTATCGATTAATTATCCAGCACAACAGGAATATCTTGTGTTAGAGCAATTTTATTTTGTGACCAATCTGTTGGCGTTTATTTATAGCTCTAATAATTGGTAGAATTTCAGTTGTATTCTGTTCCTAAGTTGGACAAACGGAAAGTGACCGAGTTCGAAAAGCAATATTTAAAAAAATATGTTGCTCGCTCCATTTAATAAAAAATAACACGGAAACAAGATGTTTTTGACTAGTAACCGTAATTTTTTTTTACATATTAATACACACTCATCATTTACCGATACCCATTGATAAATATTAAATACAAGGAACGAAAACATGCAAAGGAATACTTACAAAATTCCCCATTCTCATTTCTGTAAAAAGACTTGATGTATTCCTCATAATGTAAAACATAAAAGCTGACAGTTAAAATATTGTTTCAGTCTTGACTCAAATTAAATCATATTTGATTTGAATGCCTGCATATACTCACTGGTGCTCAATCGGCTGAATAGCTTCAATGCATTAAGCATTGCTTCGACAGCTGTAAAAATGGGTTCTTTTTAATAAAACACGCGAAATATCTTAATATTAAATGACCAATTTCAGTACTTTTTTCCCATATGAGTGAATGGACATTCTCGTGAAATACTGCACGTGCTTCATTGGTGTGTCAAATGTCATTGCTTTTCAGTGAAAAAAACTAACAATAGAATTAATCTCGTTAACTTTCTTTTTGACTCGGTATTTTATCTCCCAATCAAACCCCTCGCGAAGTTTTATGTTAATGAAGCTTCCCTTCGTGGGGCGGAGTAGTTCGACCAAACATGTTCACAAATTATTTTCCCCCATTTATCCCAGTAAATAAACACAATTGCACACATAATATTGTTAAGAACATCATACTTTATTGATTTAAGCAAAAAAAAAATGCAATCGAAATTTTATTTCATGTTCCCTTTAACTAGGGGGTGCGTTCCCTCCCCGGACCGCACGATTGTACTGCTGCAAAAGGCTGAGACAAACGCTTAAAAGCTGACAGAGTTTTCACTTTTTAATGACCCTAAAAGATTGTCGTACACTCGATAATTACCGTAACTTGATCATTGATGGACAAAATAATGCCGACAGGGCAAAAAAGTCCTTGTGAACAAAATTTCCCTTCGAAATGTAATTTTCCCCTAAATCGTCAACATTAACTCTAGGCCCCGGATGCACGCCACTGCATGCAGACAATGAAGTTTCCCCAAAGGATATTGAAGGGTGCTGTTTGCCACAACCTCCATAAATTGGTCATCAAAACTCAAAGATTGCTCCAGGGTATAAAGTGGTATTCGGCAAGATTGGTTTGACGTATTACTCAAACCATCTGAGTATAATTGCAAAAACCAAAGTTTTCATTTTTGTTCAGTTTGGTCAGAAAGCGAACTTTACAGATGAAGTTTATACTTCTGGGCTTTTGAAATTGACCAATGCTTTCAGGCAACCCCTTTTCACTAACGTCACAGTGCTAGTGAGGGGCAATTGGGGCAATTATTCCATGATTACATTACCAACCAGGCCGACTTTTTCATTCCGCGGGAAAAATAACAGATCAATTAAGAGGGAAGGAAAATGGATAAACGCTATATGATCTATAGGGCCGATTTGCTGTTGGGCATTTACGTAAACACACGTCATGAAAATCATAAGAGACAACTTAACACACGTATGCGTGGTTGTTATGCCCATGGGCGTCGCCAGGATTTTTTCTAGAGGGGGGCAAAAAAATTTTTGGACCAAAAATGCTTGTATTTTTCAATACATTTTTGATTTATCAGTTTTAGAGGGGGCAGGGACATTTTGCCCCCCCCCCAACTCATTAAATTTACACCACTTTGTCTTCGCGCCTCTTTTTCTTTCTTTTTCTTTTTTTGCGTCCTTTTTTTTTTTTTTTTTTTTTTTTTTTTCTTTTCCAGGGGGGGGGCAAGTGCCCCCCCTTGCCCCCCCCTCGCGACGCCCATGGTTATGCCTTGGAGTGACAATGCAAGGTGAAGGTACCGCTCGGACGGGTTTGGAGGAAAGTCTATACCAGTCCCATGCTAAACTCGTTTGATTAGCAAAAAAATCCCGAAAAGTAACCGACTTTTGTTTTCCAGAAATGTTCTCCAGTGGCTTATTCAAAATAAAATATTTATGATTAAAACAGGCAAAACAATTGTAAGGCCCGCGATGGGGTTTCAGAACCGTCAAAATTGTATTGAATGTCGGTGTAATAAAAGGGTATTGGTTTTGCACAAAAGAAACGCTTGTGCTAGGGTTGGCTGTTTCTGTTGTAGGTGTTTGTGTATTATACAACACCTGAATAAAGCCCCGTTATCTGATTGGTGGATCGTTGATCACATGCCATTGAATTATTCGTACCAACGCACGGCGCGCGCGTGGCGCGCAGCGCACAGTGCAATGGAAGTTTAATATATTGCACGGTGAATAGAACTTCCGTTGCACGGTGTCACTGCTGCTGGTGGTGGCGCTGTTTTAAATCGATATAAATTGAATATGATTGTTCCCAACCTGTTGAACAGTTTGCATTAATATAAATATGATGAACTCGTCGAACTTTTAACTGTTGTTAACCTGAATAAATTGGCTATTAAAAGTCAACCAATCAGATGACAAGGATTTATTCAGGTGTATATAAAACAAATAATGAATGTTTCATGTTCATGCAATGGAAAGAATAATTTCATTCGGTGACAGATGAAATGTTCCATTCCACTCGGCTTCGCTTCGTGAATTAAATGGAACATTTCATCTGTCACCTCATGAAATTATTCTTACCATTGCACTCACAAACATTCATTATTTGTACACTAAAACATGCTTCGTTTCTAATTTTGTTGGTTCCTACTCATGCTGAGATTAATTCGACCTTCCTTTTTGCTGCCATGCACCGAGATCTGCCCAATTTGGTTCAAGATTTTATCATTCATCACCTCTCTTATTGTGTGCTCATTTTCCCCAGGTATTACGTTCGTGTGCATCACAAATCACCATGGCAACCGTCCGAGACACTGGCACTGCTACCACTCTAGTTCTCTTGTTGATAGCAATGACGCAAGCGGCGCCAACTCTTCAAAGTCACGTGGCTGATTTCCAGAAGGTACTTCCAAACAGGGTATTGACGAGTGCCTCTCTGGCGCCCCCACCGACGGAAGCCAAAGACAGAGGTGAGGCATGCTTCGCTCAACTTACTACTGAATTCATCCAAGAAGGCCGGTCGATGGTGGACGCACTACAAGCCCGACTGGTACTCTTGGAGGAACTGGCTTGGACCGGTTCCAGCCAGTTGCAGCCGCATCCAACCAGCAGTGATGACGTGGAGAAGCGTGATAACCTGTCGCCGACGCAACGCGTCATGGTACGGCGGGAGATCATGCGAAGACTGCGAGAGCGTGCACCCCAGCCCGTGGAGCTGCCCATCGGTATGCGGTTCAAGAAGCTCCTGGTCGATGACACTACCGTCCCGGAGTTTCAGGATCTCGGAGTAGGAGCGGAGAAGCGAACCGGGGGTCCCGAGATGAGCGCCTCCCGACGGGCGGCCATACGAGCTGCGATCATGAGACAACTCGGTCAAGGGCGACAGCCCGTGGAACTGCCAGGAATGCGTGGCGGAAAATAACTTTATACGATAAGTACGACAACTCAATAAGTAATGAAACAACCAAGCAAACAAACACAATGTCTAAAGCATACGCAAAGACTTAATATGATCCCCCTGAAAATAAACCATGACAAGACAGAAGTTTGAATTTAAAAAAAATCTTTATTTATCCTTCATTTTAGGGCTTACCATATTTTTTAAGAGGCTCCACAATGACCCAGAGGACATGTGCCTGGCCGGATTGGATGTTACCCTATGACGTCATAGAGCTGCTTGTTCGTCATGCATACTCTCGTTCGTGGCAGTTCGGATTGACTCGCCCACAATCCTTCACGTTTCCGTTCAAGACTTCGCATACAACTTTGATAAGCCGTAGTTTGATATGTCCGTAATACTAGTTTGGTTGTGACCAGCAAGGTGGAACAAGTTATCTTTATTTTGCTCACGAATCCGATTGTAGGGGGTGCCTATGCTATTTTTCCTGAATGCCAAAACCAACACGTCAATTGGTTAATTTGCACATGGTCAATGTCCGTATATTATTACAATACCCTTTTCCTTTATTGCTATCAATTGAATCGTCATATCAAAAACCAAAAGATAATTCCATGCTATTTGTAAATAAACCATAAGTAGTTTAGTTAATGCAATTATGTGTACATTTTGAAGTGTATGTCAAAGAGGTTTCAATTGAGATTTTATGAGAGTATAAACGACAGTCTTCAAACAAAAATGGCAACCGCTTATAATTATTACAATCCTCCGATGCCTTAGCATGTATTTGCCCAATTATAATGTTCTCGGGGCCGTGATATAACTTTCTGATTCCGGCCAGAATATTTTTGGCCTTTCTCTAGTACAGAATGTCATTATTTACTTTTGCTTTGAGTAAATAAATAAATATTCATAGCGAACATTTTGATGGAGGCCTAATGAGTTTAGTATTTCTAGAAACAACACTGCGTTGGGCGGATGCACTTTTGTCGAACGTTTGATGTAAGTGTCTGTTCGGGGATACCGTAGTCAACTTGTCCTCCAGTCACGAGAGAGCATAATTAACAACAACGCTTTGTGTTGGTTTATTGAATAATCGCATTAAATTCATGCGGGTATCATTCAGCATTTTGATTGTCAAACGTTGCGATAATATTGAAGGTGTGGCGTGGCGTGACTTTTGTTGGCTGTCTGGCTGTATTTAATTTTTATCATCGCGATAATCTCTTTATTTAATTCTCGATGTGCATGTATCGGGCAGTGTCTGACCATGGAGGTAGAATTTAAATTTTCTAATAGTGACCTCCATGGTCTGACAAGAACGGGTCATTATCGGCCTGTCATACTGCGTGTACTCAGGGGGGCGCATCATAATTAAGTCCGACGCCTCATAGGTCCGACGCCTCTTAAGTCCGAAATTTCGGACTTATGAGCTGTCGAACTTATGAGGCATAAATTCCGCCTCATAGGTCCCCGGACGCCTCAAGTCTGACAATGGACACTGACGCTGTATATGACTTATGAGGCGTCGGAGCTATGAGGCCAACATTTCGGACTTATGAGGCGTCGGACCTATGGTGTCGGACCTATGAGGCGTCGGACTTATGATATGAGCGGACGGTCACTGGCTGGTACAAGATCATCGTCGCGTACTCTGGAGAGGGCAAATGAGTTACAAAAAGGCGCATGTTTTCTTAAACGCGAATTCTGAGGGGGAGGGGTGTTGATGTGGTCCATGGTCATCGATCACGACTCTTTATCGGGACACGTGGTCACCCCTGTGCCACCATTTCCTACACCTCCCCCCGCCCCCCCCCCCCCCCCCCCCCCCCACCCCTCGTTGGCGGTATTCCTATTTCCATTTGATTTGGACGACTACGCAAAAAAAAAAAAAAAAAAGCTTGGTATTCCACTAAACAAGGTGCGCAATTTGAAAGTTTCCATTTCAAATCGATCATGTTCTTATGCAAAGGCAATTATTTAATTTACTAAATAAAAAATTGAAGAAAAAAAACTGAACAAAAATCCTTAACCAAAACCTTGTCATTAAGAACGGAGCAATCGAAAATTTAAAACAAGAAACAACCGACATCTTACATTCATCTTTTCAGTCTCTCGGGCTATATATTCCACGACATAACAAAAGAACATCACACAAAATTTGTTCTTGTACCATTTAAGTACCCAAACTGAGTTATTGTATTGAATAATAGATTGCTGGTGTCGTCAGAGATTTATGTAGATTTTTGCACGTAGGCCCCCCACGGTACGCTAGCGCTATACAACAACGCACCGGCTCGGGACGTCCATCGGACACTGAGTACCTTTTTGTACAGTGACCGATGAAACACGATGACGTCATTAAGTGGGAGCTATGGGGAAGGGCGCCCCTATCGTTAAGTAGGTAAACGCGTGTGTGTATTATACACGTAGATTATAATTCATGTACAACGTCGGGTGTAAAATGCGTGCGGGATTTTTATTGAGGAAGGAGAAAAACACTTTAAAAGATGTCGAAATGAAGAAATGAAGACACGATTAAAGGATTAACTGAATGAGCGAATAAGTGAATAAAGGGGGATAAAAGACCTACCTGTCAGTTAAAATATCAACATGTTGAGATCTACAATTAGGCCAAGTAAAAAAAAAAACATGTTTAGCGTCCTGCCTTCTTGGAAAAAAAAGAAACTAAGGAGGAGGCCCTTTTTTCCGTTCCAAAATGGCCGCCCGACCCCGGCTATTATTCAAGATGGCAGCCAGCTTCTTTTTTTTTTAAATGGCCGCCACTTGGACTCAGGAAACGACATACCAGCTTTATATGGCTGTAGATATGATGCAACAAGAGGCCGCGCCAAAATGATGCCACTGTTTAAAATTTATCATTTTGGGGTTTAAAAAAAAAGGAGGGGCCTCCAAAAAGGAAGGGGCGGGGACGCTAAACATGTTTTTTATTTTTTATTTGGCCTTACATGTAGTTTGAGGGCCCGGAGGCGAGGAGACCGTACCAGGCACGGCAACAAACGTAGTCAAACGGCCATTGCTGCTTCAAAAGTCCACAACTTTAAAGCGAAAAGTCGTTCAAACGTGAATCCAGATTGAAGTTTTCCCCTTTGAAAAAAACACTGCATTTTATTTTCACCATTAATACAATCAGTTCCCAAGTACAATTAACCCATTGCTCCATGCTTTTATGATATCCTCCTGGCCTTCCATATTTGACGGTATAGAAATAATTAATTACTATCATTTTAAAAACGCTTACGTTCACTCGGATAGCCTACTTTCTTAAGAAAGACAAAATTAATTCATTAATGATTTAATAAATTAATTTGACAATTGATTTAATAATATTGTTGATCTTTTAAAAAAAATGCTGTTGAGAATAAGCCACAAACAATAATACATATGATAAAAGTGGAAAGATTTTCAAGAGAAAATCGTTCGTATTACCACCACCCCGCCATCTCTGAATCCCCGGTGGTACAATACCGGTACGCTGCCAAGTTGTTTTATTTTATTTTTGAGGCACTTAAGACATTTCCCCCTGAAACACATGAGTGGTGCTATAAATCAGAGAATAAACTGCTTTAAAATATTTCATATTTGCAATGATTTACCATAGAAATAAATAGTTTAGTGGTTTTGCATAACTAAATTATTACGTTGAGTGCATGGAATTTTCTCATTACCTATCCAACGCTAGCTGCGCCCTTCCTCAAGAGCAATTTCACATTTTTCAGCGGAGTGTCTGCTGATGGTGCCTACCTATTTATGCAAAAATCCTATTAATGCAAGAAGTTGTTAACTTGGCCGTTGAGGACGTCTGCATACTGCCTATGCTGTGACTGAGTAAACGCTATCAAATCCGTGCTTTATTATGCAAAGTCTTCACTAGTTTCGGGGAAACATCGAAGCCCAGTGAACATAAGTACACAGACAAGAAGGAAGTGGGCATTTGTGATTTTAACAACTGAACTGAATCGGTCTTGCCAGCTGCAGCTGTTGTGTTGGAGTTGGACGGTCATCAATTAATTTTGTTTACGGTCATTGACGGTTCACTTTTTAGCAGGCTGGCCTACTACTAGTACTAGAGCTAGCTGAGCGCAGAGTGCTGGTCGTCGAATTTGATCATTCGTTAAACTAAAACTAGCACTCGAGTCGAGATTGGATTGCGAATAGGATTGCAAATTTGCATCGTTGATATCAATTCCATCTTATTATCATTGACATCATGGACGGTGGACATCACGGAGCAATGGTAAGAAATATTTTGCACAGGCAACAACCACAACAGGGGTTTCAGCTGAGCTAGCTGAAACTCCAGCTCCTTGCTCATCAGGACATGTGGAATTCCTGATGAGCATTAGAGCTGGAGTTACTCTGGGGTCCGCTCATAAGTCCGACGCCTCATAGATCCGACGCCTCATAAGTCCGACAAAATTGCATCCCCTAACCAAATAAAGGCCCATAAGTACGACGCCTCATAGGTCCGACGCCTCATAAGTCCGACGCCTCATTAGTCCGACAATGGAAAAACGAGGTGTTTAATTTGTCGGACTTATGAGGCGTCGGACTTATGAGGCGTCGGACCTATGAAGCGGAGTAAATACATTTTATGCCTCATAAGTCCGACGCCTCATAAGTCCGAAATTTCGGACTTATGAGGCGTCGGACCTATGAGGCATCGGACTTATGATATGGCCCCATTACTCTAGTTCCATTAACTGGGGCGCTAGAACTGGCATTTCCACATGTCAAAGACGAAGTAATGGGGCTTTAATGATACTCACAAATATTTTTTGGGTTGAAAATCGGTGAAATTCAACCACTATTGAACAGGCATCATACAGCGATCATTCAAAAACGTTGGCTTTTATCTTTTCAACGCATTGTATATGGTAGTTCCTATGGACGTACATCATGTACACATGATACAAACACATACGTGAAGCAGGGGCCGGGACATGCCCGCGCGCGATCTACATGCAGAGTTGTGCCGAAAAACAAAAACTTGAACCCCTTCACAGGTGTGCAATCAATTGCAAAGAAAACGCGGAATAACTAAAAATGCAAATTTAGGAGCAGTTTCTGGAAAAAAAACCCTTTTTTTCTCAAAATACAATTTTCCTTGAAAATGTCAGCACACCAGGAGCCACGATTTTACAGGATGCTTTAGACTGTCATTCCCTAACGTTCAATCCAGTAAGATATTTCATGATAATTTGATCATTTCATTTTTTGATGTTTGCAAATGTTGTATTTTCCCTTTAATTTGTAATTGTAGAACATGAGCACTATGATGCCCGGTATGCATTCTGGGATGCACCACAGCGACATGCCTGACGGAATGACTCATGGCCCTGGAATGACCCATGGCCCTGGAATGACCCACGGCCCTGGAATGACCCATGGCCCTGGATCAGATCACAACATGCCCATGGGCCACTCGGTAGGTACAAGATGGCAGGTTTATGGCTTGTGACGATTGGGAAACCGTAAACATACAGTGGGGGGGGGGGGGGGGGCTGGACAGCTATGTTAGTTGGTTGAGCGCTAGTACATTGTATGGTGTTCCAAAGGTCGCTGCAGTGTTGCATGACTCGAGTCCAGGACTCAGACTCGGGTCCATCTTGTGTCGCAATTTCGGTGACACGGGACTCGGACTGGACCATCATTTCTTGGATTTGAAGCTATTAATGACTTGTAACTCGCTAGTCACATGGTTTTTTTTTTTAAATACCCAAAGAATGCTAATCACACGAACCGTAACGCACCACTTGCCTGGTGGTGTTGCAAATAATAAGGTTTGTTATTAAATGCACCCCTCCCAATTTTGAACAACAGCATATCACTTACAAAGGCCTATCACTTACTTGTACATGTCTTTTTCTTGAGGGAATAAACCCCCAGTGCATGTACATGATATTTTCTGAAATTGAAATTAAACTGATTGCTTCTCTTCTTTTTATATTCACAGATGGTGTTCTATTTTGGTGACAAGGTAACAATCCTTTTCCAGGGATGGGAGGTCAATTCCGTGGGAGGTAAGAATTGGCATGATTAATGCGTTTTTCGTTCAGTTCTGGTTCGTTTCTTGCATTTCAGTCTACTATTCTACTTTTTACCAAATGGCCTGACTGTTCCAGATTTGACTGTAAACTCTGCCCACTTGCGGCCGTTTTGCGAGCGATAACATGTATGTGCCTCTACAGCGCCACACATCATGTTCCAGCTGCATGCATCATGCTCATGCATGTCAAACTTTTGTCGGACATTTGGTAGTGGTAGCTTAGTCATGAATTTGATTTGTCAGAATATCATTGGCACCGCCGGGCATATAACTTGATTACTGGAGTAGTTTATCAGGCATGCAACTTTTCCTCGGATCTGCTGATTTCCTCATCTTGCACTTCTCGTCAATGCCATTACAAATTGAAAAACACTGTACAAAGTCTTGTGTGGTTTGGAATTTCCTCGTTGGAAGTTCCCATTTGCATGCCAGGTTCATGCTACTCGTTGTTTTACTCGTGGTTTTTCATCTTCTCGAGTACTCGTCCTTGTGCGAGTACAAGCAGGTACTAGCGAGTAGCGGTTTAGGGTTCACGGCTTAATACGTCCCCTGCAAACAGGCAATCACCCCCTCCACCACTCTCTCCCTAGGATTCCATTCGTCCAAAAAATCAATTTCAAATAAATGACTCAAAATGTCTCACAGTAAGGATATCTCAATGCTGAAGAATGTTGTGTGACTTAAACGCTATTTGCTAATTAGTTCCTTCCTGCCATTAGAACATGCAGGTCATTTTTCTGCTTTAATGGGAGTTTGGTTAACTGCTCGCAAGTACTAGACTACTCACGAGTAATTTCTCTGAGTTCTCGAGTAGAAAAATCCACTACTCGCCCAGGCCTAATCAGTGGGCAGAGCTACATGGAGTAACAGATCAGCCTGGTTTCTGGAATCGTCACTTTGACGTTTTTTCAGTCATGCAAATAACTTGCTTTTACAACTGTATTCTGATGTACATTGCATCAGGCACAGATTGCAATCGAAACAACTTGGCAAAAGCATTCACAAGCAACATTAAGTCATTTCATTCCATTAGAATGAAGTCATTTTTTTAGGGATTTTCCATCACGAAAAGTGAAACTTTTCAGCTTATCAGGTATATCATGTGTTGTCTCATCTGCTCTTAACAGTGTTTATGTCTCACTGGTATTGGAACTTGCACTTTCACACTATAATTAGGCCTACTACATCAACACTATCTCTCCCTTCCTGTTGATTTCAGTTTCATATCTAAAAATACAAGCAATTTCTAACTCATTTGGGAAAATCCGATCACGAGGAAAAGACGTTACATGAGCAAAGACTTGGGCATTTCCTTATGAGTGAGAAAGTGGAGGTTTTGAAACTGGTGAAATTTCATCATGAGGAAGTACGTAGGTGTAGCGTATGTGACACGTTCCTTGAGAAGGAAATAAGAATACAAGATTACATGGACAATAGGGAGGGCCCGGGGTGTTCAGTGTTCAGCCTTCAGGGTCATATGATCTGGCATGTTTTGTTTTCAGTCACGTAAGCCTAGCCTACTTGTGTAAACATGTTAAGAGGGACTTTTGGAAAAGTGTAAAAATAGAACCGACAATTGGAATCAGATCTCTGGGTCACATGAGTATGTAGTCAGCTCTGCAGTTGGGTTCTTTTTCATTATTGTAAATACCCGGTACCAGAAATCCAAGTAGAGTCTAGAGAGGGGCAATAAAGATTTAGCAGGGCAATAAAGATTTTGAGCAAAAAGAAAAACATGTTGCAATATACATTGTAAGGCCAAAAAAAAAAAAGTCTCCGGTTTCTGGTATGGAGCTTGCCCAAGAAGTGGTGCTGTGACACGTTTTTTTTTTTTTTTTTTTTTTATCTTTTGTTTTTTTTCTTCAAATGTCAGCTGATGACTGCAAATGGTGCTTAGCTAAACTTAGTGCAAATATATGGAAGTCCAGAGAGGCCACATAATGCTTATTCTCAATCGTAACCCCATCTAAAAATACGTTAAAATTGTGCAGCAGCAGGATTCCAGTCAAACCAGTGAGTTTGGCGGTTTTGAGACATCATCTTTCATTGAAAAAAAAAAGACTTTTTCATTTTGCCGATGCGCATGGCTACGGCGACGTGCTTGCATACCAGAAACCGGAGACTTTTTTGTTTGGCCGAATAAGAAACACAACATTTTATTTTTGGTCTTGGCCATGTGTTGATTACAAGTACCGAAATTTACTCAAATTCTCTGTTAACATAACACAAACATTCTTTAACAATTGAGATCTGGTGCATGCAGTCAATTTCAACTTTATTTTAACCCAAACTCCTTACATTTGTTTTTGCCAGAAATCCACCAAAAAGCCAAAGATTATGGACATGTACATGTAGTAACTAATAAACCATTTTTGGTCACGTGGAGAAATGTCATCTGCACTAGAAAGCAGGAAGTGGTGGGTCCGAGTCCCACCCGAGTGATTTTTCCAACTTTCACTCGGGAGGTAACAAACTGAGTATACAGTGTTTAAACGTCGGTGAAGGGCAAAACCTAATTTGATTTATATCACCTCGACGCAAAATTTCATCTTATAATATTTCTTAAACTTGGGACAGACATCACACCCCAAAGATGTAATAAAAAAGATTTTAAATGCGGTCGAGGTCTTCAAACTCGATTCTAGCAAACTACTACAGGCTTGGCACAATATGTTATTTTTGGGAACTCTCAGTTCAGTAGCTATTCCATTTTCAAAAGAAAACCAGTAGATTTGATCCCAGACTGAGTTAATAGTTAATACAAAACCTGTCTACTGCAAAGTCTTTTGTGTGATATCCTGGTCACCTTTGTTTGCCTCACAGTGGTAAGGCCAAAACAAAAAATAGTTCTGCTCCCGGTTTCCCTACCTACCCTATTCTGACAGCCCCTACCCTAATTTTTTTTATGGGCAAAATGAGGGAAAAAACCGAAAACCATCATCCTTGACAACACGCAGACACCTCAATATGATCGTGCACACACAAAATTGGCCCCAAAAAAATCCCTACCTACCTACCCTATTTTCAAATGCCATGTAATCGGAAGCAGAATTATTTTTGGGGGGGCCTATTATTGTTGGGAAGCTAGACTGTGGTAAACAATCCAAGAGTTAGCATGTGGACATGGACCATTGCATTTTGATCCCTTTGGAAAAGTTCAAGGGTGCAGATTTACTTCTTCTTTTTTTGACACTTCAGCAACAGCATTTTTGTGTCGACTAAACAAAGTTTTGGGGGACATGCTCCTAAATTCTGTTGGCTTGTCTGGTTCAAATTACATCACCACAAAGCAAATTCCATTGTACAAATACAAAGTTTGGAAAAATTTGGTTGAGCGGTACCCCTGAACTCCAGACTTTTTATGGACCTGTGTCATTCACCTAGTAAAGTCCTTGAATAAAGTACTAAGGTCAGATCGTAAGAAATCTGATATTTCCAGTGGAAATAGGCACAGGAAGCTGAAGCCACAACAGGTAACAGTTGTTTCCCAAATTTTCTTTGAAAGTTCGTTTCAACTCATAACCTGCAGTAAATTGGTGCAAAAATATAAGAAATTTGATATCTCCTGTGGAAAATGGTATGAGAAGTCAAGGCCACAACAGGTGGCCTTGTACACACCTTTTTATTTATTTTTCCACTGTGGGATGTGTGTGCATAAACATTGAAGAAATGGGTCAGACATCCTCAGAAAAAGCGAAATCGGTATTCCAACTGCGCATGTGCATCACAAGATTCGTAAATGTTTACTTTGAGATAACACAGCAGATAAATGCACACAAGTTTATGGGGGACGTCGTAACCGAATGTGTATTCTGCAAGTTTTCATGCAATCAGACAATGGAAAGTTTCCTTCGCACAAAAGTTAATGCATACAAACACCTAAAATTACTGAGATCGTGGCTATTTCGGTATTTGGACAATAACATTCGGTATTACTTAGTATTAAAAAAATTTGTCAATTTACCGGATTAGTGAAAGATAGTCCAAGCCATGACCGGTCCGGAGGGACCATAGCGCTCTGGGAGTCTGGGATGAACATTTGCATTGTACAGCGGGTCTCAACAAAAATGTAGCAGTCGAGCAACATTTTTTTTTCTGAGGAAACCAAATTGTTGTGTTTTGGGGGGGTAAAAACTTTACCATGAGATGATAGAGTGTTTCTTTTCCCTTGACAGGATTTTTGTTCTGTGTGATTCGGACCTTTTGTTTCAAAGCTACCGGAAAGCTTGTAAAGACTGTCAAAATCTGTTTGGGCCACTTCTCAGATGATATGGTATAAATGAAAGGCATTTACACACCATTTTTGGTATGTGAATGCCTTTCCTTAGATATAGGGCCTAGATATTGGAAAAATGGCCCAACTTGGAGTTCAAGTCCTTCATTGAATTAGCTGTATCTCTGGACTGGGGTGTCCAAATGAGATGGGAAAAATGACCATTGTGTAGATTGTAGAGCATTTACTGTACCTTCAGACTCTATAGATAAGTTTTGTGCAAAAATAGAATGCTGCCCAGTAGTATTTTTAATATTTATTGATTGACTGCTACATTTTTTATTGACACACGCTGTACATGTAAAAATGAGTAACGTGAGATGGTCCGTTTAGTTTTGCTACCCTGGGGGACCGTAGCGAGTTCAAGTTAGATTGTGACTTCAGGGAGCCTAATAGGAAACACTTCAACCCAGGGATATGCAATTGGATCCTGCAAACTCATAGAGATTTCCTATTAAAAAAAAGTACAAAATACTATAAAAAGTAACTTGAAACTGGCATGTGGTGAGATTTGTGATTGAGTTGTTTTTTTCTCTGTCCATTGCCGTCTGCTGGTTGGCTTTTCTTTTGTTTTCCTTTACTCAAACATTCTGTCTAGGTACGCAATTTCCTCACAGTTATCAAAGCAAACAGAAGTCTGGGCATGAATTCCTGTTCGTGGGGGACTGCGCTTGTGTTTCAGTGGAAACCAAGTTCATCCAGAGTTTAGTCCAGTCAGCCACATGTCTGAACACAAGTCAACTCAATTCACAAGTAACAAAGGATGAACGACGACAAAGAACGCCTTTTTTACAGTTCATGTGACCTGATGTGAGGGTGGACTTCAGCAATGTGTGATTGACTTGTGAGGGACTTGCGATGACGTGATTGCAACTATGATTTCCTTGATGTCTCCTGGCCATTGTTCTGGGTCACAAAAGTATGCAATGAAAGTAGTTGAATACAACTCTCACCCCCAAAATGAGAGCAAAATCTGAACCATTACAAACTTTTGGCTATTGCAAGTTTCCAATGGCTTCCCATACAGTATACAAGTCACTTAACCCTAACCGCCCTGAATCCTCCAAAATCCTTTTGCAAATTGGAGGAATTTGCAGGATTGAGGTTACATGGCAAAAGTGCATTGCTGATTTCGGAGTAGGCACTGTGTCAAGGTCTTGGGCCGGACCTTGTGTTGTTTATGCTCAGCCGTGCATAAATTTAGTCCTTGATTATACTTGACATCCTCCGCACTGCTCCAGGATGTCACTGCCTCTGCCTCAGCCTATTGACAGTTATAGCCGGAGGATTTTGCAGGATTCAGGCAGTGGTCACCCCTCCATGGACCATATTCAAGAAATAACGGAGGATTTTGCAGGATTGAGGCTACATCCTAGCAAAAAGGCCTAGGGAGTTAGGGTTAAAGCACACAAGGTTCTACACCAAAAGTTTTTGGATTGAAGGGTAAATTTCAGGAAGAAATATCCTAAACCTTCAGCTTTTTAAAGAAAAGATAAATAGTTCCTACATGTGCACTTCTAATTTTACCAATAAGATCTCTACCCACCAATCCTGCTAATGATGCCAAACCTCATCTTGTTTGTTCCAACAGCTCTGGTGGGTTCCTGCTTTGCCGTCTTCTTCATGGCCATGCTCTACGAAGGTCTCAAAGTTTTCAGGGAGACCCTCTTGCGGCGTTCGGCCGTCAACATCCGCTTCCACAGCATGCAGCTGTCTAAAGGCTCGGAGGCCATGCTGACTGAGACCCACAGTGCCGGGGAGTAAGTATTAATAATAATAATAATAATAATAAAACAGCATTTATATAGCGCAATTTGAATCTAAGATTCCTCAAAGCGCTTTACAATAGAACAAGAAACAGTAAAATAAAAGTAAAATAAAAGTATTGATACAATTTGGGGATCAAATTGCCCAGCTGCCAGTCGGTTTACTCTGTACAGTAAGCTCCGTCGATATATCAATATTACTTGATTATTCAATATTATTTTGATATCGATATCGCCGATAGCAATGTTTTAATCTTATCGAAATATCAGAATTTTTGATACTGAGGAATGATATCGAAAGTATCGAAAGTGCATCAGATTATCGCCAAAATAAATCTCCCGTTTGTGCTTTTACTTTGTGTTTAACGTTTGCTGTATAATGAAATAAAACCCGGCAGCAACTTGTGCTTGTGACTCAAAATGCCAAGCGGCATCGACTTGTGCTCTGGAATTCGCACAAGTAAGACCTCAAAAGAAACCGCCTGTTCTGGACAAACTGTCAGTGCTGAGATTTGTTTAAAAAAAAGAAGTTTTAAACTACTTATATATTTTTCCAATTGACCAATCAATCATGACTGTGGATGGAAATCAGTTTAAGCTACAGTAGTGCTTTGAAAAATAGCCACCACCAACACAAAATTTCAAAAATGTTTTGGAAGCCTGGGAGTTTATAAGTAAGATGAGTAACTATACAGCACCGTTAATATTTTTGGTGTGTGAATCGTTTCTTTCTCTCTGCAAACATGTAAAAGTAAAAACATTGCACACAGAAAAAGACATTATTGAATCAATCACGTACATGTATGGATTATATTATTAAATGACCAGACATGTTTTTCCTCACTTTTCCCCCATTTGTTTTCTTTAGTTTACTGAAGTGACAAAATTTGCAAACATTACAGAAATTACGGTACATAAAATGTACATGCCCTATATACGGACATACGTGCATGTACATGTTTACATGTACATCCATCACAAGTAAATGTACAATAATACATGTACATGTAAATGTATACATGTCAACCAAAGTTCGTGGATTTTTCATTTTTGTCCAATCTCACCAACCCCTGTTGTAGGATTTTGCGATACCGTTATCCCCCATCCCACCACTCCCCGGCACGGATTTATGCCACTGCTTAAAGGATTGATCTATTGATGGCCTGGTTTCCATTTTTTTTTTCTCCTCCCTAGATCGCGCCTACTCAGCGGAAGTCATTTCATCCAGACTCTTCTCCACATGGTCCAGGTGACGATCAGTTACTTCCTGATGCTCATCTTCATGACCTTCAACGGTTGGCTGTGTATCTCCGTGGTCCTTGGAGCTGGCTTGGGCTACTTCGTGTTCGGCTGGAAGCGTGCCATTGTAGTGGACGTTAATGAACACTGTCACTAACACACAACAACAACCCCCCCTCCAACTGTCCAGTATGCAATTCTTCTGCAACCAAATTAAGTCACTGACCATGCATATAACACACCCATTTACTTCCCTGAAAAAGATTAGAATATCCTCTAGAGCTGTGAATCGCAATTGAAAAGGTGACATTTATTTCACTGAAAATTTGGACTTTAACATGAAGAAAGAAAAGAAAATCCACTATTGAGAATCTCTGGCATCAACAACCACCGACATTGGCCACCAGAATACAGAATATGCCACCCGTGCAAATAGTGGCAACCCGTACGTAGTGGCCACCCGTACATAGTGGCCATCCTTACATAGTGGCCACCCTTACATAGTAGCCACTTCTACATAGTAGCCACTTGTACATAGTGGCCACTTGTACATACATGTAGTGGCCACTTGTACATAGTGGCCACCCATACATAGTGGCCACTTGTACATAGTGGGCACTTGTACATAGTGGCCACCCGTACATAGTGGCCACCCGTACATAGTGGCCACTTGTACATAGTGGGCACTTGTACATAGTGGCCACCCGTACATAGTGGCCGCTCGTACATAGTGGCCACCCATACATAGTGGCCACTTTTCTGAGTGGCCAAACACTCGGGTTCACTATGCAGAAAAACATTTCATTGGCTGGGCAAATCCTGTTTTAACTACAGCAACACGGGAAAAATATGATATTTGTTGGCGCGGTCAAATGGTGATTTCCCACTATTTGACAAGGGCTCTGTAATTTTCTGTGGGATTGGGGGATGTGTGCGCATTAAGTTGGAAGTTTTGTAAAAAAAAAACAAACAAACAAACAAACAGTGTTTATTTTAAATTGTGATGTGTCCAAATCACAACGATGGGCAGTTGATAAACTGCAGGATAATTTATGCAGGATGTCAAATGTGATGATAAATGAAAAATTATACAAAGTTAATAGAATGAAAAATGACCGTTTTTGGAAAATGATGGCCTGCAGACGGAGTTGTGATTTTAATTGGTTTTGATTTAAATTGTACAAGTCCAAATTGACCCCAAAAAAGCCACTACAACAACTTGAGTAAATTCTAATTCGAAAACCAAGAACCACTGCAAAGCCCTCCCCCCCCCCCAAAAAAATGTGAGGATGATTTGGCGTGTTTGCTAAGAAAAACTATCTGATTTTGGCACTGTTCCTGCTTCATCTGAAAAGCGTTGCTTAAGTCCCAGAATTTTCCATTTAACAGTAGATTAATACGGCCACACTATGCCTTGAGAAACAATTTTCTACCAATGTGCCGTTTTAAAATCTTAGTTTCCTCAAAGTACTAATTAGGGTCAAAGCAACAAAGTATGTTTCATAATAGGAAACTATTTTTTTATGGCAGCCATCTTGTACTTCCCATTCAAATGTACATTCCAGGAATGCTGTCATTTTGCAAACTTGAAGAGATTCAAAAATATCATATAACAATTTTAATATTGAGTTGTACCCTTCGCTAATGAAACTTGTAAACATTGTCTTTTTGTGATAACAAATTACAAACTTACTCAGATGGGTTTAAACTCACCACCCGTTATTTTATATTACTCGCATTTAAGCATGTTGTAGTATGAGTGGGTTTTTTTTTCAGTTTGTTTTTCAGTTTTTTGCAAGTTGTGTCATTTGTGTACAAAATGGATATTGTGTTTTACCGTGCTTTGGGAGGTGCTTTTTTAATTTCAAATTTTCAACAATTTTTATTAACAACTGATTTTGCATGAGTTGATAGATTTATTAGTGAAGAACCAGCTTCTTTCTCTTCACATTGGGCCTGACGTTTCGAGTTTAAGTTTAGAATTATGTATCATCGGTTGATTACATGTTCAATTTTGGGAGGAATCTGAATGCTTAATTGCAAAAAATTCTGGAGAAAAAGGCTTATTGTTATATGGTGCTTTTGGCTTTAAAAAAAAACTTTATGTGCGCTACTTTGTACATTCATCTGCCAGGCTAATTTTATTGATATTGAAAATATATTAAATTTTAAGTTGGTAAATTTATTGACAGGCTTGCTTCGTAATCGGAAAGTGTAAAGAAGTTGTGTCATTCATGCATTTTAAGTTTTTATGAATAGGTAAAAATTAAGGAAGATTATTAAAAGAAATATCTTTAATACCTGATATTCAGCGATGGTTTCCAATGAACATAATAATTTATGGAGATGCAAGTAATACTGTAAAACAATGAAAGTAAATAATTAATATTATCTACTTTGTGTACTTCAAAAAACTGGTCCTGGCCAATTATAATCATTACAAAATGCACAAAATGTCACAGAAATATTCATATAATTCACATACATGAAGAGTACTAACCACATTAAAAGCCCGAGGTTGTTTGAAAGTCCTGCAGGGAACGCAATGCGAAATTAATCCAAAGTTGAGGTATTTATTAGTACCATGATTGTTTTAATAACCCCAAAGTGTACTTAGCAAGTTGAAAAGAATAATGGTTTTGTTGATATCTATCTAGAAAATAAATTGTGTTTTTCATGCAATGATTAAAAATTAAGGAAGATTGTTAACAGAAATGGTCTTCATATCATTGAAATTGGACGCTGGGTTTCCAATTAACACAATAAGGCCAAAAACAAAATAGTTCTGCTTCCGATTACATGGCATTCGAAAATAGGGTAGGTAGGTAGGGAATTTTTATTTTTTTTTTTGCCAGTTTTTTTGTGTACGATCGTATGGAGGCGTCTGCGTACCGTGTAGTCAAGGCTAAAAGGTATAAAGTGATGGTTTTATAGGGTGGTTTATTTTTTTCATTTTCCAATAAAAAAAATAGGGTAGGGGGTGTCAGAATAGGGTAGGTAGGGAAACCGGAAGCAGAACTAATATTGTTTTGGGCCTAATTTACTGTAGATAATAGTGTAAAAACAATTTACATAAGTAATTAATACTATGTTTGCTTTAAAAACTAGTCTTGGCGTGGTATATTCATTGCAGAAAGCACAAAAGATCACAGAAATATTCATATATATTACATACATGAAGAGTACTAGTCCGTTAAAAGCCCGAGTTTGTTTGACTTTTTTAAGCTTTGGCAGGAGCTTCGTGGTCGATCAGTCGGTCGGCCCCGGTAACTTTGACCAAAACAGGCGCCCTAAGTTTCAGATAAAATTCAACTATCAAATGACCAAATATTGACCAATTGCAATTAGTATTTGCACTCTTAGCGAACGTTTCCGGAACACGCCCCTTTGTCTCGATCGATGCGCATGAAACGTAACTTTGACCCAAAACAGGCGCCCTACGTTTCCAATAAGATTTAACTATCATATAACCAAATATTGAACAAATGCAATTAGTAAATTGCACTCTTAGCGAAAGTTTTCGGAACACGCGCTTTTGTCTCGATCGATGCGCATGCGCGTCCACTTTGCATACGAAGTGAGCATTGATCTCCAAATAGTAAGACAAAGTGAGACACTCCGGAATCGGGCCAGAGCTCATTATTGTGCACTCGCGCTTGTTCAGATTTGCTTCATGGCGCTGTCTGTTCAAGCCGATTGCTTGAATTGCAGTCTAAACAGTGCCTCAATAACAGTAATTCAGAGAACACAATGCAAAATTCATCCAAAATTGAGGTATTTATTAGTACCATGATTTTTGAATAACCCAAGTGTGTTTAAAAGAATAATGGTTTTGTTGATATATCTATCTAGATTTGTTTTTTATCAAGACAATTAGATGACTTTACTTTTCAACCTTGACCGGTTCTTTGTCATCAGGGTAATTGTTTTAATGCGTTTGATTTTTAATGGTTAGTAATAGAATGTAACGTATCAGATTTAAGGATAATAAATATAATTTTCTTGATAATAATACTGAAGAGTCCTTTATTTGTTGAGTTTTTTGGGGGTAAAAATATTCAGCAATTTTCGAGGCGGGACTGAAAGGGCCTCAAGAACAAGCAAATTTGTTGCTCAAGAGATTGATAAAATATCGACTATACACGCTTGACCCTACCTCATCAGAGCTCAGTGGCGTAGCCTCGGGGGGGGGGGGGGGGGGGGGGGGGGGGGTCCCCCCCCCCCCCCCCCCCCCCCCACTGAGATTTTGAGTTTCTAAAAAAATTATCATTGATCTACATGACGCCCCCCATGAAATGTTCCAGCGCCCCCCCCCCCCCTGAAAAATTCCTGGCTACGCCACTGCAAGAGCTGTGGAATGTTACGTCACAGCAGAAAGAAACTTCTTCTTTTCTAGACGACAGAGGGCGCCCGTACGTTTATATGAAGTCGTGTTTGCAAAAATTGTTACGCGAACGAAAATGTTTTTTGGGTGTGGCACAGTGAGAAATATATTTTCAGATTGAATTGATATTTTTTAGCATTGCTTTCCAATGAGACATCGCACGAAAATAAATCGGCCCTCGATAAGTAATCAAGTAATTAATTTCAACTTTTGAATCGATTTCTGAACTGGAGCGCGCCATTTAAAACCACTTTTTAAACCGGTACAAAGACCTGAAAAAATAAACAAGCAATTCATTATATTGTTACAGGACATTATACTCCTTTCAATTTCGTTCGGAAAAGAAAATCGACATTTTGAAAAAGCACGTATATACCAACTTTAAATAGTCCAAATCAAATCTCTCCCATTTTGCTTGAAGAGATTCTGCAAGGGCCTAGAAAACATAACTTTAAAAAAAAGTCATCAGTTTGGAATATAAAGGATTTATGTGGTCAGTCATTTGAAGAAAAGCTACTCGTCATGGACAGGATTCGAACCTGTGCGGGGAAACCCCATTGGATTTCGAGTCCAACGCCTTAACCACTCGGCCACCATGACTGCCCGAGAATTTAATAGTGAAATGAATTTGGGAAGATGGGGTTTTTTTTCTTCATAAGTCAATCAAGCCAAAAAATCTTTGACGAACGAGACCTCCGTACGGAAACTTTAATTAAGATCCTCAGGCCTCGTCAAGGCAGTAGTCCTCCCAAAACTACTCTATGGTTCGGGGACCTGGACCACATACCGGCGCCATCTCATGAAGGGTTTGGAAAGGTATCACCAACATTGTCTTCGACGGATCCTGAGCATTAATTGGGAAGAGAGACGCACCTATCAGCGTCCTGGAGGAAACGAACAACGCAAGCATCGAAGCCATAGTTATCCGTAACCAACTGAGATGGGCGGGCGCGGCCTCTACTCAGGATGTCGGACTTTCGCCTCCCAAAACAAGTGGTCTTTGGTCAGCTTCGAGAGGGGCTCAGTTCAAGAGGAGGACAGAGGAAACGCTTCAAGGACACCATGACAACTAACCTCAAGAAGTGTGACATTGATGTCAACACATGGGAGACACTTGCACTGGAGCGACATTCCTGGAGGAGGGGTAGAACACTTTGAACCAACACGAGAGCAGGAGGAAAAGCGCAAACGGGCCCTAAGAAAAGAGCGAGAAAGAACCCAGCTCCAAAGACGTCCAGTTACTTCAGGACTTTCCTGTCATGTATGCGGCCGAAGATGTGGCTCAAGGATCGGACTTATCAGACAAGAGTCCACAGGGACCAAACTGAAGCCTGCGTCCTCGACGACGACATTAGCCTAGTTTCCTCTATCATTTCCCAATTTGCCCAGAAATCCAACCAGAAGAGTGTCGCATTTAAAATAAACAGTAAATCTGTATTTGACAGAGAGTGGAGTGTGTACCAGGCTTCTGATTTCGAACCACCCATGCTGCATTTTCCTGTTAAAATTAGAAATTTGTCTCAGATATGACGACTGTCGAGTAGATCATGTCGTGATGGCCGAGTGGTTAAGGCGTTGGACTTGAAATCCAATGGGGTTACCCGCGCAGGTTCGAATCCTGTTCACGACGAATTCCTTTTTTATGCTTTTAAAGCATCGTTGGTCTTGCGCAATTCAATTTTTTTAAGGTTCAAGAGTTTTAATTGTCTGTTGTCAACCGGCCGGGCGTTGTGGCGTGCGCCTGTAATCCAGCGACTTTAGGAGGCCGGGGTTGGTGGATCGCATGAGACCGGGAGCTCTGTGGCGTCGTTCTGCTCATGACGATCGGGTGTCCAGGCTAAGCTCGGCATCGACATGGTAGGCCCGGCGGAGGTTGGGTTACCATACCAGGTTGACTAAGGAGGGGTGTACCGGCCCAGGGCGGGTAACGCAGCAGGCAAAAGCCCCCGTGTGGAGCAGTAAGCGGGATTGCACTCGAGAATGGGAGGCGGCTCACAGCCTGGACAATACGGCGAGACCCAACTCTTTTGATTTTTTTTTTCAGGAAGAGTGGGGGGGGGGGGGGAGGGGGAAACAACTTGAAAGAGGGAGGAGGAAAGATTGCCCCAATGGGTGGGGGAACTTTCTTTTTTGGAAGACCTGATTGTTTGACATTTTTGACAATTTTTGGAAATAGAGAGTTTGCAGAGAGCGCCCTCATTGTGGGCAAGTTGTGCCTAACTTGCAATACTCGTGTTCTTCAAAATATTCTATTGTTTCCTCCCAAAGAATGTTTACTTTGTATATTTTATTTATACGGAACATTTTGGACGTTTTCAATCCCTCTATTTTGGGTTACTCTTGCGACCATAATGCACAAATGATCTTCCGAATTATTGCCAGGCCGCGGATAATTTGACATAGTAATTATTCCACAGCTATAAACGTGGGCGGACTTTTCGGGTTTTCGGTTCATTTTTTGTCTTTTTTTTGTGCGATGTCTCACTCAAAGTTGAATAACTTTTGTATTGCTAAGAAAACAGCAGTTTAAAAAAAACACAATCTATTTTTTCGGGTGAGACTCGAAAAAAAAACAAGAGTAGATCAATTTTGAATTCATGACAATGAAAGTAAAAAGTGTATATTCACGCGTATCACAAAGGGACAGAGAGCTGTCCGTATTTAGGGTGGTCTAAGCAACTTATGTATAACACCACCACCCCATCCCCATCGACAAATAAAAAGCACGCAAAAACAGTAACAAATTCTAAGAAAGTTATCTCCGGCCGAGCAAACGGCCCCAGCAGGGTCCCTGGAACATATCACATGTACATGATGTTATTGGGTGAGGAAGTTATGCGGATTCAAACTCATGAATAAAATTGATATGTCGTATGTACACACGCGAAAGAACTGTGACATGAGAGTACATTAATATACCCATTTACCTTACTAATACAGAATGACATTCACTGTCGACTTCATTTGTTTCAGCCTATACCAATTAATGTTAATTGTGCAAGAGTCTATATACATTTGTATTTACACATTGCAAGCGTCATGCTAAATTAGCGAACTGAAACTGCGTCACAGTATCGGATTTCGATTATTTATTTATTTATTTTTTTAATATACTTTCCGTTAATATATAAGCTCGGCCATCTAGCAAAATTGACGTCATGCTTATCCATTATGTGGCCGGGATTTTGTGGTTCATTTGAATGACAAAAGCAGACCCGAAATCTTTGAGTCAACAAGGCTGAAAGTTTAGTGTCCCACCGACGGATGAGTGGTTCCATTGTGCCCATTTATTTTGTAACCCGTGCACACTGTACATTTTTCACCGTACAAACTGTGTATGAAGTAATAAGTTTGGTGGTGGAAACTTTGCTGTTTTTCTTCATGTGAATTTCTCCATTACTTCAACCTTTAAGCCAGTGGTCCGGTGTTATTTGAATTACCTGTCATCCCTGGAAAAGCACTCTTATCTGTTACAATCTACAGGTAATTAATTTATGATAAACACCACAACAGACGGGATTGCTCCATATGGTCGAGTTCGCAACGAGTGGTTTGTACATTATTTATTCATAAGTGAAGTGTCAACTTTGTGTTTCCAGCTAGTGTATATTTGCTGGTAATATCATACCAATAGTGCAGACCACCGAGGCCGTGTGTTGTGTTGCTAAAGTGTCTCGTCCATCGTACATGTTTTCCTAACTCACAGCAGACAATGTGGAGTTGTATCGTCTAAGTTTCTTGATGTCAAACAAATTTCATCAGAAGAGGAAACATACGAGTCGCTCAACGGTTTGGTGACAGATCAGAGCAAGCAGTTTCATGTAGGCTGTAGTACACCAGACACAGCGAACTCCGCCCAACCGGCCTACATTGCGTGCAGTTTAACTGTATAATTGTACTATAGGTAAGACATGTAATTAATAATAATAATAATTTGTTTTTAGTTAGAAATAATGGGTAAGGTCAGTCTTTAAAATGATGGAAAGAGTGAAATATAGGCTGACTGCATATTTTTGGAAAGAATGTTGCATCCTGACGCCACTTCAGCGGTTGTGTACAAAGTATTTTTTCAGTATTTCCTGACAAAATTGGAAATGTTTCTCAGTCCAGGATTCATGGCTTATCATCATTTTAGCAATGACTGACCTTCATTGAGATGATACATGAAGAAAAAAAAGTAGCGTCAGTTTGCAACATTCTTTCCAAAGAAGACAAAACAGTACTTGGGGACTGATGTAACTTTTGTCAGAATTCTGTCAATATTGAGCATGATTTTTTAAATGGTATTTGGATGTTATATTAGTTCCAATTCCAATTATATTTGTGAAAATTAGGTTAGAGCTGCTGTTTGGCCGGTGTTCGGTTATAGACCATAAATGTGCATATTTATGGCTCAAATACTGGACTCCCTCCGCATTGACAGCCACGCAACCAATACATGCAAAATTGCCTGAAAACTTGTGTTTCCAGAAATTTAAATCTGGACTTTTTTCCCACTTGATTTCGTTATGGAAGCTTCTATTCAATAATTTGGTATCTAGATATCCTGTTATTTTTAGGCGAAATTTGCAGAGAGTTTGTCTAAAAAATAAATGCAGTATTGTTCTCTCTTTTCTCTCTACATCTTTGAACTTTTGACTTTTTTTGGTCACTATTATCCAGGCTAGTAGGTTCCCTAGCCAATATTTATAGTGAAAAACAGCCTAGATTTCAAACTCTGCAGACATGTTTTCAGGACATTTTACTTGCATGCATCTTGTGTGTGGCTGCACCAAGTCCCAGTGTTTAAGCCACATATGGGACTGGTGTTTGACTTGAGCTAATTTGGAAAGAATGCAGTGACGTGACGCCACTTTTTTTCACCAAATTATAGCCGCAATTGGCAAAGTCATTCAAAATATCGAAAAACATATAGAACATGAGAAAACAGTCAAAATAAAAATGCATCGGAATTGTGTCTCTTCTTCTCCACAGACTTTGTACACAACCATCAACTTGTACTCGATTTTATTTCAAGTTCAACATGCCATTTGATGTAAAAGTAAGTACATGTATTAGTCTATACGGTTGTATCATTTTGCTATCCGAGCACCACACATCTTTATTATGATCATATAGACGACGTATCAAATTTCTTATTATTTATAAATTGTAGACAATACTGCTGTTTGTGGTTTATTTATTACGGCGGTTTGGTGTATGCACTATGCATTAGTTAGTTTTGCTGCCACGAAGCCTTGCAAAATGTGGTGCCCGATCCGTTAATGAATGGCCATTTTCCAACGTGTTCTTTCCCAGGATATGTTGGAACATTTTCACTTCAGTGCGAACGTGACGATACTTTTCAATGGCTGGCATGTGACGACGGCTCCTGGTAAGTATTTTGTTTGTATATACGGACTCTGCTCCACGCTGCAGCAAGTTTTAATCAAAATTGCATAAAAGGTCAGTTTTATACAAATAAAACTGATATTATCGCTCATATTTGTCAAGGCAATTGTTGTATACGCGTGACACAAGGCCAGGGCACGATTTCGGACTTTCAACCTTGGCACCGCACGGGTATGTGGCTTTTCAAATTATGTACTTGAAAGTGTTTTACCAACATCGACCCTGTAATTATCTCGGTGTGAGTCCTGAGAAAATTGAGTTGGACTTCTGACAACTAAATGAGGTGGCCACTTATTCTACAATTTGTTCCCTTTTGCGGTCTCTTCCGAGTACGAAGTGTGTTTTCCCCCAAGTTATCTATTCGTCAAATATAAGAAAAAAAGTACAGGGCCGGCTACCTTGCCCGCATTATGGTTAAAACATTGCTCAAGTACAAAGAGCAAAACTTCAAAATTGTGAAGAGAAGTATTCAAGCAAGCCACAGCACCCCTTAGAATTTCAGTCTCGTGTCTTTGGCCTTCCAAAACCACAGGCCTGAAACTCTGATACAGAGTTGCAATAACCAAGTCAATGATCCCATACACAACTCAAATCACAGTCACAAGTCTAATGACAAATCAATCAAGGGTTGAAGTCAAATCACAAGTCAGTCAAAAGTTGAAGTCAAATCACAAGTCGATCAAAGTTGAGGTCAAATCACAAGTCAATCTAAAATCAAATCACACGTGTATTACAAATCAATCACACGGCAGGTCAGAACAGCCTGTCTCTTGACCCAGACTCCTGATGCTGAAGTATAATAGTACTTGTGACTGACATACCTATGGCGACTTGTGTAACTTGCGATACGATGCCTTGCGATGTCTTGCGATGTATTGCGATAACAAGCCTGCGGTAATCTCCCGTCTCCCTGCCAGGTATGCTAGGCAGTTGTGCCGTCGTCATCCTCCTGGCTTTCTTCTTCGAGGTCCTCAAGACATTCCGGACCCTGCATCTCCAGCAATACGCCACCAGCGTCAGGCATCGGATAGTCGAGAGTGCAACGGAGAAAAGCCGAATTCTTGAAACTCAAGCCGAAGGAGAGTAAGTAATCTTTTGGGGTGAATTGCTTTTAGAAAAAAAATACCTCGGACATTTACCTCGGACAGTTTTGGGAAAACGCACTTCATTCAATGGTCGTTGAACCAACACACCACTCCCTGACGCATTGAACATTAAAATACATTGTATTCCTAAAAGATTCATTCACAGGATACCAGCATTTTGCATTTGGCATCTTTGACATTGTTTTCTGAGGATTTCGTTGGCTATTGGGCGTGTCTAAATTTGACACCACAAGCCGTATTGCATTGTGTACGCGCTGGCTGTTTGTCAAATTAAAAATATATAATGAAACCTTGTCGCTGAATTGGCAAAAAAAATACAGTTGTAGCGCAAGTCAGCAAACCCAAGGGCGGATCCAGAACACAATTTGGGGGGGGCCAAAAAATTTTTTTGGGATTCTAGATGCTCTGTGGTGCGATCTGAGGCAATTTCTGATCACTTTAACCAATGTTTCTTGAGGAAAACATGGTGGTGTACTCATTGCCTGCCTTTATTGCGATGTCACATAAAAAAAAAAAAATTGGTTTCGTTTTTTTGGGGGGGGGGGGGGGCCATGACCCCCTTTGGCCCCCCTCCCTGGATCCGCCCTTGAGCAAACCTATATTATTTCAATCCTTTCCATTCTTTTTGTTGTTGTTGACATTTTAGACGTCTTAAAATTGGGTCATCGTAAACCGTATTATAAGAAAACACTTTTCAAACGGCCACGTATAAATAGCATGTCTCGGTTATTTTTCCAATACGCAGACTCAAAATTCTTAGTTGGCCGCACGGAATCCAGTCTTTGCTACATGTCCTCCAGGCTGTGATTGGCTACATGCTTATGCTAATCGTCATGACGTATAACGGCTGGTTGATTCTGAGCGTTCTGATTGGCATAGGGCTGGGCTACTTTGCATCGGCATGGAAGAGGAAAATCCACGTCGACGTGGAAGAAACTGCGAAATAGTACATGTACATGTAGTCGCTCAAGAATATTGATCTTCAAAACCAAAGAAGAATGTATCCATCAAATCTCCAACAGTTGTATATAAAAATATAATCTTGAAAAGAAAAATCATGCAGCTAAGATAAAAATTAAAGAACACAGACTCTTTTCCAAATCATGGTAGATGGTTTTCCAAATCAAGATTCGAACCAACCAACCGATCCCGTTAGCTCGGTGGTCGAGTGGTAAGACATCTGCACTAAAAAGCAGGAGGTCGTGGGTTTGAGTCCCACCCTAGTGAATTTTTCCATCTTTCACTCGGGAGGTAACACACTGAGTATACAGTGTTTATACGTCGGTGAAAGGCAAAACCTCATTTGATTTAAATCATGGTAGGTCGCCATGTTTGAAGATGAGTTCGCTAAATATTGTACAATATTTTAACATGATGTACATGTGCGCGTATTTACACACGCACTTATAGGTGATATCAAAGCGGCACATGCATCATACCTCCCCGATTCGGCCGGCACAGTTGTCAACTTAAACTTACTATTATACAAGTCTCATCCATAATATACATTGTCTTGTGAATATTTCTCTATGCATATAAACTAGTACCGATAGCAGCAATTAAATTTGAAATATTCATGAGCGCTTTGTGAACTTTAGGGAACAATATTATATGGTGGCTAGGCCTGTTGTGCATAACTTATTTTAACAATCTGTACTGCCGTAACGATAATGCAGTGAAGCGGCACAGTATCTCACTATGCCCGCACAGTTTCCCGTCTAAAACCCGTCTGATTGGTTTTGTGATGTGAAAAGATAAAAGATAACCCCGTAAAAAAAAAAATCAATTAGGCCAAAAAAAAAAGTCTCCGGTTTCTGGTATGCGCGCGCGTCGCCGCAGCCATGCGCGTCGGCAAAATGAAAAAGTTTTTTTTTCAATACAAGATGATGTCTCAAAACCGCCAAACTCACTGGTTTGACTGGAATCCTGCTGCTGCACAATTTTAACTGTTTTTAGATGGGGTTATGATCGAGAATAAGGTTTATGAGGCCTCTCTGGACTCCCATATATTTGCACCAAGTTTAGTCGGGCACCATTTGCAGTCATCAGCCGACATTTGAAGCCCCCCCCCCCAAAAAAAAAAAAAAAAAAAATGTAAAAAAAAAAAAAAAAGCCGCGTCGCCGCACCACTTTTGGGGCAAGCTCCATACCAGAAACCGGAGACTTTTTTTTTTGGCCTTATAGTATATTTGTTTACAATATATTTTAAGCCATGACTTTGGGAGTAGACCTTCGCTGTACGGTTATAATGTGTCTGGATGTGTGCACAGTGTACAAGAAACGTTTGGATGTGATAATTGTGAATGAATTATTAGTTGTATCGTACATATAAACCATTCAGCACGAATTATATTGTAACGTTGGAGGAGTTGTACTATTTCCTATATTCGGTATATACTAACTTTTTACACAAAATTAGTACTTTGTAACCAATCGATTTTATATTTTTGTTTCACTTCAAAATTGACTTTTATTAACCAACATTATCCGTATTGTTTTCAAGTGATGGGCGACCCATTATGTATACATGTACCTCTTTTTCACCATCAAAGGTCCCCACTACACGTAAGGCCATCAATGAATGAAATCTACAATTCCACTATCAGTGGAAAATATAGTTTGTATTGAATTTAGTTAGTTCTTTTGTTTATGTTAAAACTAATAAAAAATATACAGGGTGCGCATGCATGTCGCTCGTTCATAACGTTGGAAAGAATCATAGTCTGTCAATGACAGATGGTATTTGTGGTCATTAATATTTTTTTTATTAAACTATCAAATGTGGAAAGACGGAAAATGTCTCCTGTTGTATCATGTTGCAGAAGCATCTGACACATCTCATTAAATTTATTCCCGGATAAACATTGGTATCGTTTTATGGCCTAAACATTTATTTTTCTACAATACTGTCTTTTGTCAGTTTTTCAAGGGCGGGTGTATGTGTGTACATGTACAAGCATTACATTCACTGTGTGGACTTCCGAACAAAAGATGTCCACATAAACCAGGTAGCAGCGACGTTGTGTGGGCTTGCCCACGTCCACACAAGGTTTCCCCCTCTCTGGAAAACAGGTTTAGAGGCATTTTGGGATTAGGTTTATATGTGGCAAAATGAAGAGAAACACTAAGGGAATCATAGAAAACACGAAAACAAAGGAATGTCCACACTACGTAAACATTGGCGTGTTCATCTATTCAAACCGTGGACGAACAATTCCAGAGAACAAAAGAGAACAATATAGTCCACGATTCCCACAATACGTCCGCGATTGGGGTCGTGTACAAAACCTATGGGAGTCTTCCTAAAAAGTTAGAGTACAACAAAAGAGGGACATAGGACGTCCACGATCGACGGTGTGAACACGTTAACTTTGTGTGTGTGTGTGGGTGAGCTTGTCTTACATACGCAGTGTGGACTTCCGAACAAAAGACGTCCACATAATGTAGGTAGCAGCGACGAAGTGTGGACTTGCCCACGTCCACACAGTGTTTCCCCATTTCTGGAAAACAGGTTTAGAGGCATTTTTGGGTTAGGTTTATCTGTAGCAGAATGAAGAGAAACACTAAAGGGAATCATTGAAAAAAAAATGGGTTGTAAGAGTTTTCACAGTTTGAGAAAAATGAGTTTTTCCACTGGTGTTCCTTAACTACACGAAAAGAAAGGAAAGTCCACACTAGGTATGTGAAACAAGTCGGGGTGTGTGTGGGTGTGTGTGTGTGTGTGTGTGGCGGGGGGGGGGCCGCGGGATGAGGGGTCTAAGAACTACCTTGGGCCATTGGGCAACAACAGAAAATAAGAAAATATCATGCAGAAAAGGGTAGCACATGCCTGCAACCCCCACTTCCCCCTCCTTGACAGCTCCCCCCCCCCCTTGAGCCAGAGCTAGATCCGTCCTTATTTGGTATTGTTTTGCTCTCCAAAAAAACATGCATAGCAGTGTATTGGCGATGTTAAATGAGCTGCCTGGAGTGTTAGACAAACTCAATTTTGCTTGAAATATGTTGCAAACTAAATGAATAGAACAAGCAATTTTTCTGTTTCCATGCACGACGAGTGATCGAATATTAACTGAGATCCGTGTACAAAACACAGCCCGACCCGCATATCAAGTAAATTGAGGGGGGATGGAAGGTCATATTCCACTCGAGTGTTTACATGTATATTGTTATTAAAAGTTAATAAAGCCTCAAATTAAACTGCAAAAGCAATCAAAAATATAGTATCCGAAAGTCATTAAAATCGAGATACTTTAGTTTGGCATTTATATTGCACATCACTATACTGCTATGCGAAGTGCGTACATAGCTTTCAATACTAGTACATGTATCATTTAATTTCTGTTCGTCAAACTTGATATACGTTTTGTCTATCTCCTGTGTTTGTTTTGACGACCAGACAACGAAAGAAAACAAAATTGTTTAATCAAATCTTTACACTTTATTTCCATCCTTAGAATGTAAATCAGGTATACGGATAATACAACGTTTGAACATTACAGTATTCACTAGGTATTTGCAGGAAACTTTACCTAATTTATGAATCGATATACAATTTTAAAAAAAATAATAAATGTTAGGGTTGCATATAATTACTTTTACTCACAATTCATACGTCCAAAATATAAGAAAAGTTGTATTTTTTTTTAAATTAATAGTTACGTGCATATCAACTTAGTGATTAAAAAAAAGAGGACGCGAGTTGAATTCCAGTAATTATTAGCCACATAAGAGTGTGACATTAAGTTTCTTTTAAATAGAATAACACAGAACAACAGGGACAACGAATAAGGAGAATTAAACTAACAAGAAATACTATTAAATAGTAAATCAAATAAGTCAAAGTTTAATTAATAGTATAATACTGACTTTAAAAATGAAAGCCGAATTAGTTTTATTTTGAAAGATATACAACAGTGGCGAGCATAGAAACATACACTGTAGTATTATTTTAAGTGGTTTTCAAATGATGCTATATCTTTTATGCACCATATCCTTGCCGCAACGTTTTTGCATATCAAAACCAGCCAAAAACCCACTATTTTTCAAAACAAATCTCCTAAAAATGTCAAATGGAGAAAAATTGAACGGAGAATAAATTAGACTTTATCAGTCGAGTGAAAATAATGATGACCTTTATTCCATCTAGTATTGGGCGAGTGAGGGCGCTATTATGACCCCATTTTATGGGGACCAACAGTAGACATATCACGTTTACTGGAATTGATTTTGCAACTTTATTTCAACCTTAAAATTGAAGATTGTAACTTTTTGGACTTACGTCTATAACATTGGAGTCATGTCTGTTTGTGACCCCCAACACTGCATAGATATAGCGCCGCCATTCTCTCGTACATTGGCCTATTGTGGAGTCCGTGAACACTCATTGGGATTTTTCCCAAGATCTTGGGAAGTTAGGCTAGGTCTTGGGAACGTTTCGCTGAGCCTTGGGAATTTGTTAACGCATTGAGAACACACAAAAGTATGGATTGCGCATGCGCAAAGTGTTAATTGAACACTTAGTGAGCCACATTCACATGTCTGTGCTACATAATCCTGATATCTTGGGGATTCCTTTCACTAGTCATCTTGGGATTTTCAAATTTCATGAGTGGCCACGATGTGTGTGATTTCTCTCTTTTATAAAAAAAAAAAAGTTTGTTTCTGTGGCAACAGTCTCCCAGGAATCATACAAGGTACATGTCATGTTCTGAGGGCGTGTGGTTGCTCCTCATGACCTGATCCACCCACCACATGAGCTTTGGCACATGGGTGTAGAAGGCGAACTGTCCCTTAACGGCGCATCCTTTGCCCGAGCTCACGATGCCGATCTGCACCCACCGCCAGTCCGTCTCGCCCGGTGCGGGCGGCAGGATGCGCCGCATCAGCGGCCCGCCGGAGTCCCCGAAGCAGGCGTCGCGCTGCTTGCGGTTGAACCCGGCGCAGAACATGTGAGGCGTGAACTGATCTGGTTCTTCCCCGATTCGTATCAGGCTGTTGATGCAGGTGATGTCGGTACGGAGCGGCATCTCCAGTTGCTGGAGTACGTCTTCGAAGTCGCTGCCCCGACTGCTGTTGGCCGGGACTGGGGAGCTGTGGCCCCAGCCTAGGACCATTGCAAACTGGTCCACTACAATCAACGCGTCTGGTTAGGAAAAGAGAACAGGCTGTCAGTAAACGACTGGGCGCTGTAATTTGCTCTAGCTCTCCCTCCGATCAAAATAGTTCCCTTGCACGATGAACTTTAAGTACGCCGATGTTGTCACTCTTTCGAAACTTATCAAATCGCGCGCACAATAAGCACGAAAGTTAATGTAGCGGCTTTCCTTATTGGACTGACCGTTCCTCGATTGCTTACATTGACCAATGGGTATTCTTGATATATAACTTCTTCAGGCAATAAGGCCCATTAGTAGGATCATCTGATTTTTGGTATAATATAATTTTTTTAACCACAGTTCACAGTCTAAAATGGACTAACAATTCGTCCATATATTAATAAGTAAGTTTCTTCGAGGGGGGAGGGGTGGTACTGATGTGACACGACCTTTATGGTTTGCCCAATCTTTTTTCCCTACCAAACATCGCGTGGTGTTATTGTATATATTGATTTGCCCATAGCAGGCCAATGATTTAAAAAACTGATCACTTACCTACGTCATCGTCTGGTCCCGGTACATCAGGCAGACACACTGGCCTGACGAAGGTGTTGAGCACGGCAGGCTCGGCTAGGTGCAAGAGTGCAATGTCGTAGTCGAAGTTGATGAAATCGTGTTGTTTAGGTAAGTACAAACCGTCTATGTTGAAGACTTGCTCTTTGTACGTTCCGCTGTCGTGTTCACGATGTGTAAGTCCTGCACACACGCATCAGAAAAATGAAGATGAAATTGTTTTCAAAAGATTCCATTTGTTTCTATCGTTCAAGCTTTCAATTTGGAGAGGCAGGGTACCAAACTTGACGCCATAATTATTATACTACCAAACAATATGGAATTTTTCGCTCGCCCCCAGGCCGCCATGTCCAAGAGAGACGATGACAGCTTTCACACAATTTTGTCAAAGAGGTGCAAAGCTAACCAGTCTGACCAATGAAAACCATTGCACAGTTTGCATTGACCCCACGACACTGAAATAAAAGTTCATCAGTGGGTGCCAGCGAGAGTGCGATGGGTACCAGCGTATTTTGTACATCTTCGCCCCCACAAATAGCATAAAATGAAACAAGCTTGCTTGGGATCCAACCCAGGGGATCGAGGTTACTGCTTACCTAGTTTGACCTGTAGTCGGGCTATATCCTCATCGTACCCAAAGCAGTGACCGGCCGAAAGGACCCAGTTTTGTGCCACCAAAGTCCCGCCACAGAAGAAAAACCACTGAATAATATCAAAAAGGATGATCAATACATTGGTAATAACGGCTTATTTGTGTTGTAAGTCGGGAGAAATTACAAGTTCTACCTATATCTCTGGATTATGACCTATGTGTACACCCCAGTAAATAGGCCAAATATCCGTCCGCCGAGCTCATGAATAAAAGTTATACACTCGAATTCTTCTACATGTATATTGAAGATAATGGCACTGTACCTCTGGCCTGAACTCGGGCTTCCAATTCTGAGCATTTTGAATGCAAATGGGTCCGAAAGTGGCGCTATCTATTTAGCCATATTGTGGAGGGATCTTTTTTTTTTTTCAAAATGGTCACCTTTTCAGTTTTGAAAGTATCATTGGTATTAGAGGTGGTCTTCTTTGTGTGAGTTTCTCCAAAAAGTCAATGACCCAAAATCGAAAAGAAAAGAAAAGATGACATGCTGATCACCATTTTTCTGTGCAGCCAGCCTGAATATATACACGTGAGAGTTCTGAGTATTATTAAAAGAATGTTGAGGCGTGGGGATTTAACACTGGTGTCTATGGAATGTTTTTTATAGACTGGGGAGCACCCTCACGGTATAGGTTATGTGTGTGGTTTTAGGCGCCCTATGCTCAACTATTTCTAGCTTACCGAGCCGTCATCTCGCTGCCAACGTACGGCGGCCTGCCACGGCCAGGCAGCATCGTTGGCGTCGAACCCACCGATGACTCGGCCTCGGACTGGCTGGGTGATGTCTCCGGACACGCCGCAGATGGAAAAATCCTCGGAGGAGTCTAGGATCAGTTGAAAAAGAACCAGCATGACCAAAAAAAAGTATGGAAAAGGCGAATCAGCATTTTGTGATTCCTTCTTCATCGGTCGGATAACTGGTGTGAACTATGTTGTTTAACCTAATTTCAACATTTTTACAGAAAACGTTGGACCGCTTTAAACTAAAAAGTCTAATAGCAAATATTATCATTCTTATCTTGATTTGTTTTGTTACTCGATCAAGGTGATCCATACAAGTTGTTGGCCGGTCACCAGTTTGTAGTTCTGACAAATAGAAATCTGCTTATTATGCGCAAGTATGCGAGAGGTCGAGGGTTCGAGTCCTACAAAGGTTGGGGGGGGGGGTGGCTGAGGAACGCACTGCACGCAAACTTAACAATCAGATACTGTACATTTTACTACTCATTGCAACACGCCAATGTTTTGGCAAAAATCCTAACCACAAAATAATCGATTTCGAAAAGGCATTGGCCTGCATGTGCATGAAATTAACAGAGGGCGCCCTCGATCAGAGGGCGCCCTCGATAAAAGATGGAGATCAAAATGGTGTGTACATGTACCTAGTTCACACCTCGGTACGTTCCCGGTCCACTCGCCGAACCAGCAGCGGATCTCGTCGTCACCTTGTACCTTGCGGTAGCCCTTCTCGCAATCGAACTGAAGGTGTTTACCGTGGGGTAACTTCTCGGGATCGCTCAGATCGTTGGATACGAGGACGTAAGGCGGGAGGTCGGGGAGCTGACAACTCTCTGTTTGCAAATAAAGGTTTAGAGTTTTATTATATGAACCTCTACCAATATCAAAACGTACATAGACCGAAGTAGTACGCGTTGTAAATAATGGCACTTGGTGCATTTTGGGCACGATGTTGATGATGGAATTCAAGGCTTGGTTGTAATGTCAGAGTTTGTTGTGGATGTTGAATTAAGTGCTACTTGAGTCAAGTCTAGAAGCCTGATTGAAAAAAATATATATATAACTTAGCGTGGACCGATTTTTTTTCGTTTTAAACGAAAACACTAATAGTGTCTCATTTGAAAGTTCATAACTTGTTTAATGCTAGAAAATTATCAATTGAATTTAAACATTTGTTTTCTAGGGTGTCGCACCCAAAAGGCACATGATACCTCCCTTTTATAAACCCTGGAAGTTGCCGTACAGAAAAAGAACAAGCCGAACAGTAAACAACGATGGATTTCAGTAGATCCAGGAACGACTTAGTAGTTTGAAGCGAAGTTTAAGATTAATGTGCTTTGGTAGACTTTACTCCAAATGCTCATATCTGGAGTTTGGGTTGAAATTTTGAGGTGATTGTACATTTTGGTGATGCTGGTGGAGCTGGTGATGAGGAAGGTGATTTTGATAATGGTGATAATGACGATGATCATGATGGCATTGATTAGACAGGCACTTTAGTCTTCCGTCCTGTATATAAAAAATAAATCTTAAAAAAAAATCATGAGTGAATGACTAAATTATTTCAATACTTTTGGTGTAGAATATAAGCCCTGAGATTTCCATGGACGTGTGTATTTACAAGTCGTATAGTCACAGGTAATTCGACGTGGTCATGCAAATATTGCTATAATGTTCTTACTTTCTATACAGGATGGGGAGTCAGGGTACCACTCTCCCTGGTAACACTGCACCGGGATGTCGGTAGTTCGCTCGGCGAACGGGGAGCACTCGTACTCGACCTCCGTGCCGTCTGTCACGGCGTCGGGGGCGTCGTTGAGATAGATACCCGACCACAGGTGCGGAAGTTCACACACATCTATACCGGGTCAAAAAAGGCGAAACTCACGATTAAAAAGTAAAGAAAGTTACCTGAACTGGGAAAAGTGATGGAAGCCTACGACTTCAAAACATGTAAATACAAATCAGCGTTTTAAAAACTAAGCTATCATCTAGTACCACAATTTGACACCAAAAAATGTTTCAGAATTCATTTCTCTTTTTTGAAAAATGGGGGGGGGAGGCTAGAACACGCGAAATTGGAGTGCTTTTGCCTTTCGGGCAAACGGGGCTATCGTAAGGAAGAAGGCTACTAGCGATACATTTTCCTTTTTTAGGGCCCTAAACTCCTCCGGAAGCTCAAACTATCTAGCCCTTGGTGCTAAAGCTTCATGATTTTCAGGACTCCATATACCAACAAAACTGTCCTTACGGTCAGCGTTCATAGGGTCCGCGTCGGCCGTCAACGTCTCCCGGGTCAGACAGAACGGGATGCCCAGCAGCCACTCGCCAGCCGTGCAGGTGGTGGACCCATCCCCGTCTACCAGTGACGTCCCTTGCAGGCAGTACACCTGAACCACTGTGCCGTGACGGTACGTCGCGTCCGACCGAGGCTCGTTGGAGTACTGGATCGTCTCGTAGTTGTTGACGGTGGGTTGAAGCCTCTCGCAGCCGGCTAACCGGACCAGGGGGAAAAACAAATTTTGGTTTTCATATACGATTTGGATAACTGATTATTAAGAATGACTTCAAGGTTGCAATGTTGCACTTAGACATCGATACTCGGGTCCAATTGGCGATCGAATGCCCCGTCATTAAGAGGGAAGAGTGCCCTTTTGACATGGCCATCGTAACTTTGGACATTTAATCGAGGGGAGACTGGAGAAAAAGACTACACAAGCTCAGTGAGTCCGTCACGACCATTGATCTCCACATATCTGTATATATGGAGATCAATGGTCACGACTACATTTTGCCCTTGGTCAGAGTTTGTGTCATGCGTAGCCTAGCCTACTCACAATTCGCCTCACGGCTTCTTCGCTTAGTTAAAATTCATTTGAATACTATTTCTTTTTAACAATTTATACTTGATGATAGTAACATGCTATTGTACGATGCCTACACCTGCCGCAGACGTTCATAATCTAAACATTCGTTAGATTCAAACGTGTGAAAAAGTGAGTACAATATTTCGAAATGTGTTCAAACTCTAAATGTAGTGTTTACAGTGTAGTTCGTACCTGGGACGCATCTCGGCGCCTTATTGTTCCATACACCGTTGACACACTCGGCGGACGGACTTCCCTTGACGATAAAACCCTTGTGGCACTTGTACAACTTGAGGACGCCGTTGGTCAGCTGCGCCCGACTGTAGAACGTCTTGCTCCCCTGGGGAAGATTCTTGTACTTGATGAACCCGTTCGCGAACCGGCGGTTGTCCTCGCAGAATGCTGTGGGTTGAGGAGTAAAGTATATTGAAACCAAGAGAAATCTCATCAATGCAAAATATAGGCTTTATACAACAAAGAAGATATGACGAGGATATTTTTCTTTCAGGAAGTTCGAGGTCAGCCAATTGTTTTTATCATCAAAATATTGACACGGTAAATTATTTTTCGTCTGAATTTAAAACAAAACTAACTTAAACCGATATTTGTTTCCAAATTCCAAACACCTGAAGACACCCCATTTTTAAGACAAGATAATTCAAAAGCCATGGCGTTTTTAACAAAAAAACTTGAAAATCCACAGAACCTCAAACCGATTCGCCTTTTTCCTGTAAGATGATAAGAAATAACTTCCCGAGATATATAACTGACAATTTTTGCTCAACTACAACATCATAAGAAGTTTTGTCAACACGATATAGAATCTCCATTCCAAGCTAACAATTTGTCAAAAGTACATCGAGTTCAAAGACCTAAAACACCGTTGATAAAATTTTGGAATCAGTCATCAATTTCCTTATTTCTTTTCCGTGCAAAGGGCACTTACTTCCCCTTCTGTAATCGTGTGCACCGCTCCAAGAAAACGTCAACCACGAATCCTAACTTTTGAGGATTGATTTCATCCTCTCTAATTCGTGCAGGACATGATTACCGGAGTGTTATTCCCATTGAATGGATGTCTTCTTTCTCAGTAATTCACCATACCAGTAATGAGCGGAAACTTGGCGTATGTTTGTGCACTTATTCCAGCACGCGATTTGCTAACCGAGTTCTTTTTAAGCTGTTGTGTTTCCGGGGCTTTGGTGAAACAATTTCAAGTTGACCACTGATTTTTCTTCTTTTACGACATGTTATTCCTCTTCCAAGTTGTTCCAACATTAGACTATTGACAACTAATGAATATTAGAATGCTATAACTATTAACATGAAGGGGCGTTATAATGGCTCAAGAGACAACACAATTTGCTTCGAATGGTACTTTTTTACAGACCTAAATCAATATCAAATCGGTATCGGAGCTCCTTAAAAAATGCGAGCCCTGGAAATAAAAGAAATGATGCACTTTCTTACACTTTTACCGGTGCGTGGTAAGAGACTGAAATCCAGACTAGAATCAAGACTACCATCTAGCATTTGTGTTGTTCCGTAATTATTTGCTAATGGTGCTTTTTTTTCAATGACAGGAAACAGCCAACTAAAGTTCAGTGTGTTGTGAGCATGAAACAGCCGTTATTCATACTTCAACTCCTGCATACAAATATACTTCTTCAACATCGGATGTTTGAGGGGTCATCGGAAGGCCTAGAAATAAAATGAACTGACGTTAGAGATTCCGCTTCGGATTTGACAGTTCAAAAACAAACAGATGACAGAAGACATAGGCCTACCATGTGGGAGAAAAAGTGCGAGCTTCGGTTATCAAATTGTGCAAATTTCCCCGAGTAAAGGGGAAAAGGAGTTTAAAAATGTGATTTTGGTTTTGTTAGCATCGACTTTTATATCTTTCGTTTCAACTTCAGTAAAGGTCGAAGGTAAACAAAATGCAACAAAATACTTGAAACACAATTTAAAAAAGCACATGTGAAATATACAGCTGGTTTTTTTTTTTTTTTTTTTTTTTTTAGGAAAATGGGTAATTTGGCAGTTTAACGGTCTGTATAGTCATAGACAAACTAGTTTTCTGTGGCGATGATTGTTCTGACTTCGAGGGTAGGAATGGGTGGAGTTTGCTAGTCTTTCAAGGCATGCCGCTAATTTTGGATAATTTGGTCTATTAGGAGCGGAACAAAAATCGAGTCTGACGCCCTAGAAAGGAAAGTCTCCGGTTTTAATGAAAGCGCCCGCCACAACAAGCCAAAAATAGGCAGTGCACTGTACGTCCGACTATTACTTTGCATATATTTGTTTATAATACCTTGACGTCAGGAGACATTACCAAGATGAACGAACTCTCTGAAAGCGAGCCAAAAAAGTCTGTAGTGAAATAATATGTGAAAAAAAGACACAATCTGCTACGCCTTTGGGTGAACTATACTTTATAATTGATTTTTCTTTTCGATGTTAGATCCAAACGGTACTGTAGGCCTATATAAACCTGTAAAATTTCAATGAAAAGGGCAAAGAACTGGTATGAGAAGAGAAACAACGGAAGAATGTCTTCGCAAACCGTGTATATGTACATAATTATTGCGATTCGCATTTCGTTCAATTTTAAAGGTATATAAACAAATGGCTAGACGTGCCACAAGCTGTGATTATGAAGGTCGACGTTTACAACTCGCTGAAACTAACGTAATATCAAACCAATTGTGACTGAACACACAGTGGGTGGTAGAACAGTCACACCGTGCAAGCGTACAATTACAGCTGGTTCTGCGAAACAAAAGTGGTTCAGCCTGCTAAAAAGAAAGAAAAGTCATACAATTCCGTTGCGCTATTATAACGGGGGAGGGGGAGGGGTCAGGCTGATTTCGTGAAGCCGACTCACTTTTTTAAGATAAACCATTGAGAATTTATTTTATTCGAGAAAACGACCATGTTATCAACATTTACGCTGACCGTACCACAAAATACATTGTCGAAAAGAGAAATGTCGAAAATGTATGCCGTACGCAACGATCCTTTCTGCCGATTTTATATGTCGGGCGTTTGTGATTTCTAAATTCGTGTACATTTTTTCCAATAGTTTTCTCCGAGCACAAAAACCTTTTGATAAAAGGCTTTCTAAAACAGTCGTTGTTCATGATCAAAATGTTTAACTTATACGTTGAAGTAATTCCTTTTATTCACCGACCTTTTGGTGTAATCATAACGACTTTAAACGTGATTTGCTAACTTCCTTTAACCTTCTCTGTGCAAAAGTAAATCATTCAGAACGACATAATTAGTGTCGGAAATGAAGCTCATGGGAGGCCTAGGTTGAGGGTTTGGATCTTCAACAAAAATGGCAGTTAGTATACTCTCTTATATAATTTGCATAACCCCGGGTTTGATCATACACGTAGGCCTATTATGATTCAGGTCCAAACACCACCAACAGTCTATTAATCATAATCTTTAGGCCTAATTGGTATTCGCTGGATTTAAACAAGAATAGGTCCTATATGCCACTGTTACATCGTACACTTAGTTAATTTGCCAAACAATAATTATTGTGCAGATATGGCATGTGGAATACAGATTGATAGTCTGACATATTAAGTTTGAGCATAAAGGAATTTAATTCCTCCATCATTGAGACTGTATGGTCCGCTTCCCAGATGTTGCTGTCATGGTTTGTTTTTTTACGAGTTCCAGACCGCGTACAGCTGTGTACCTCCGTCAGTAGGTTGATTGAGATCACAACAGTATAAGTAAAGCCTTTCGAGCTGTGTGGAGAGGAAAAAAGTAGCAAAACAAGATGTACTTACGAACGAAGAACCCTTGTACTTGTCCACACCTAAGACTGAGGTTCAAGAAAACTTCGAGCACTAAGAGAAAGGCAGCAGACAGCCACATTATTGCAGACTACGTCCGAGTAGTAGACTTTTGTACCTCAGTTACCCAAACAAATTTCAGGGTCACCGATGGTTCGTTCGGCAGTCTATCAGTACGGGGTCCGTAGGGCAACGATCGGAGCGGGCCAGACGGGTCCCGGGTGACGGGTGAAATGAGACGTATGGACAGTCTGTGGGTATACTTGGCAGACGTCAGCACCTTTGGTTGTCCCGGACTTGTTTGCCTTTTTGAGATTGTGAGCGCAGTTTACAATGATATACCTATTTCCCTGTCAAATGTGACAGTTAGTACTAGTATGGCGTATATCGAAATCAGTTTGCTGGGCGTTCAACGATGAAAAATTCCAGTAGCAGCAGTTTCTCGGTAGCTCAGTCTCGGATCACAGACAAAATCTTTTTCAATATGATCATGGAGCTGTCGTCCAGCTTTTCCACTAAACTCATCTAAAAAAAATTGTCAGTTCTCATCATAGGACCAACCACTCGTATGCAGCCCGCTCAGTCTATGTGCGTTATAAACACAAGTTGCACGCGTGGTTTACACACATCTCTAGATAGCAGTCCGTGGGATTATGATTTCCTGGTGACGGAAGTGAGGGGGATGACGGTCTCCAAAGACTGTGTGTAGCGTCTGAGTTGGGATTGTTGGGGGTTGAAGTATCCATGTAACGGTACGCCGTTCTTGCTCGCGACGCTCACAGTTACTCACACCGCGTGCGGTAGTCGGATCGGAGACCAAATCCGCCTATTTTTCTGCGAAGAAATGGCAGCCCACAAAACAATGTTCTTGCTGGCCGGAAGTCAAACTCAGATTTTCCCCAGAAATATGACCAATATTAACCGAAACAAAATTGATGGGCATGATACAGCCCGAACACTGCTGGAGTATTTCTTAGATGGTATAGTACGGTTTACCAATACCTTCAAGTTGATCCTTTCTTTACCCGAGAAAGGGTGTAGAGGCCTAGACGTATAGGTTTATTGATTAAAAACTTCAGCTGTTTATAATTAGTTGGCATGGCCATGGTCGTATAATACCATCAATCCAGGGGCAACAAAATGCAAGCACCAGTGGCGATCGGGGGTCCCCCCCCCCCTGTTCGCGATTTTTTTTTTCGCCCCCGTTCAGCCGCTGTATGACTACTGTTTCGACAAACTTGGGCCAGCGCCAAGCTTGACTCAAAGTTACTAAATTTATTCTGAAATTGCTAGTGCACGACTGAGAACGCATCTTCGATTTCAAAATGTTCCCACCCGTAGCTTCACTCAACCCCCTCCCCCTCCCAATACCATTTCCTGACCCCTGTACCCCTCGTGCGTGGGACATACAATCAATAAATCTAAAAAAAAAAATGTGGTTTCAATATGGTAGACCTGAAGGGAGATCGCAAATATCTTTGCAAATATTTGCGATAAAATTTGCGACATCGCACAAATTATTTGTGCAATTTGCAAAGATGTGTTGCGATGTGTTGATGTCCCTTCAGGGCCACGATATTTCAGAGCGTCATCGGAATATACGCGGACATTTTGACGGATGCATTGATGTCACCTCATCTTTCGATCTCTACGACGTGACATAAAAAGTGGCTCATTTGGTAATAAGCCTACACAATACATCAAGAACAATGACAAGTCGTGGCAGTCACCGAGAGCCATTGGCATGACCAACACTGCCCATGAACTCGGGTCTGTCTGTGTTTGAACTCCCACTGGTCCCCGTTTCATCTGCCATCTCCATCAAAATACCATCCGCTATAATTTCAACGCTCCAACAAAGTGAGGGATAAATAGCTAGTAGGCCTACAGTTTAATAGTCATATCTTTCACAGACATGAACTGGCCAAAGAAATGCCAGATTTTCCCATTTTCAAAAGCTTGTGCAGTGATAACCTAGTGTGTCTTTGTAATCATTATTTTCTGCATTGTCAGGTACTCCTTCATGTATATCAAACCACAATTTGATTTCGTTTTTGCGGCGACTTAACCCTCAAATTGCAGAAATCGCATGGCCGGATACCAGTGCAAAATGAACGGGAAGTGTTCCATAACCACGTGGTCGTTTTGGATCATCTCTTGAAACAACTGTACGGGTTGTTTCGGTTTCCGGGCACTTTCCCCTCTTTGGGAAATGATGATCTCATAATCACGAATTGGATAAAGTTATCCTTGCGGGGCAGCATAGTAAGGTCAGCAAAGGGTCACGGTTTGATTCATGGTTAAGCTATGTCAACAGAGGGCGACAAATATCACTCCTTTCAAATGTATGGGTTAGAGAGCGCCATATAGAGCGACTACAGCCATAGACATAAAGAACCTTTATGGGTGCACTGAACCAATTCAAGCCCCATTGAAAACAGTGTAAAATCAACAAAGTTCAGGGCCAAATAACATGCAAGGGCGGATCCAGGGGGGGGGGGCCAAAGGGGGCCATGGCCCCCCCCCAAAACGAAACCAATTTTTTTTTTTTTTTAATGTGACATCGCAATAAAGGCAGGCAATGAGTACACCACCATCTTTTCCTCAAAAAAAATTGGTTAAAGTGGTCAGAAATTGCCTCAGATCGCACCACAGAGCATCTAGAATCCAAAAACTTTTCGGGGCCCTCACGGGCCCCGAACCCCACGCCGTAATTTTTGAGACCCACTTTTTTGGGGGGGACCAAATTTTTTTTTGGCCCCCCCCCCCCCAAAATTGTGTTCTGGATCCGCCCTTGATAACATGCAAGCCAACATCACAGGGGTTTCTCAAACAAAAATTAAATTATTGTCTTGTACTTCATCTTTTCATTTCTTTTCAATGTTGGGTAGATTAGCCGATTACATTTTTAAATATCCACACCAAAACAAAATCACCTCCCGAAAAGTGATAGTTCCCAAGCCTGCATGTAGCCGTTTTACAAGTGGCATCCTTCCACTTTCTCAGGCAAATAGGACCCATTTTTCAACCGTAATTTCATCAAGCCTGCCCTCAGATGGAAGCCCCAAAACCAGGGAATTGATTCTTGGCTACATTTACACAATTCCACCGTTTTTAAAGCCAGACGGTCTCCGTTTTTAAAAGAAAACTGTGGGGGGGGGGGGTCACTTTTTATGTTAATAATCAGCTCGCGTAGAAATTCTCACTTGAATTAGTTCACTGCACCCTTATGTCTGTGACTACAACAAATATAGTCAGATTTGAACAGCGCCCCCATTGAAAGTATGGTACGAGCCGAACCCACCTATTGATTTTCGGAGGCCAAGTGTCCGGAGAAAAAACCCTGTCTACATTTCAGATTTTTTTTTGCCGATGAAACCCCGGCGAAAATTCCTGGATCCTCCACTGCGATAGGCTATAGAAGGCGGCCCGCTGAATGGTCAAAATCACGAGGTCATAGGACGCAGTCTTGTTTTGCAGAAATTGCTCATAGATCTTTGCAAGGGGATACTAGACTAAAAGTTCCAGTGGGTGCAGGCCTATATAAGTTGGGGTAAATATATAAATGATATCAATGTCACAAACTTTACAAATCAAAAGTATTCTTTGGAAGAAATTACTTTCGAATTTATCATGTTGAAGGGCACTGTGAGAGAAACCAGCTTGAACTTAAAGACTTACAAAAATAGATGCCCAGGTAGGCCATCAATCTTACTCTATTCAGGGAAAAAGTTGAAATATCTAGTTAATTATGAGAAGGTACAAAACCGTACAATGTACACTTTTATTTTTGGTTCAGCAATAATCAATATGCAAACAAAATCACTTCCGTCACTAGTTCGCGGAATTAACTGCTAGAACAGAAAGTTATTACAAAAAAAGAGGGCGCTATCACATTTTGTGTGATCACTATCACATGAAATTGTGTGTACATCTAGAAATGTCACCCAACGTGTATGTGATGCAGCGGAAGTAACATGAGGTTCAGGTTTTATAAACCCCTGAAAATGTACACGTCACCATATATTTCACAGTAAGACTGTACACTAGCCTTTAATGTGATTTTAATTTGCTAAAAAGTGTTCGCAATTGTTTTTTTGAGGCATCGAAATGATTCAGCACCAACTACTCGTTTTTTAAAGGACAGTAAAGTCGGCCATTTTCGCTTGAGGGGAGGAGGGGTCATTTACCAGAGTCACGAGAAATCGACAATTTATTTCTGTCGGAAGTTTACCGGTTTGAGCTTCTTGAGCGCTCGGAAACCATGTTCTTCGACGGAGAAGAGGGGGAAGGGGATTTTGGACCTCCACCTGGAAAGTATGCAGCCTTTTCATGAATTTGTTTTTAGTTTGCCGGCCGATGCTGTCAAGCGAATTTCCCAAATTGTCGAACCACATGTCCACTGTTCAGTCATGTCAATCATTGACTCAATGCCAGTATTGTAGTTGTCCGTCAAGTCTGTTGTTAAGGAACAATTCCTCGTTTGAAGTTCGTTGCATGTCTGCATGACTTTCATTTCTACATACATTCAGATAATAAGCGAAAAGAATGTTGCACATGTGCAACCTGACCCCACTTTTTTTCTTCATCTCAACTGGTCAGTCATTGCAAAAATATTGGAAAGACGTGAGATGAAGTGGGCATAACCAATTTTGGGAGTGGAAAGATTCCCATATCTGGCCATCACTACTTTTTCCCTTCAGTGACCTAGCAGCCATCAGAAAGTGATAATGTGTCCAAAGTCAAAATTAGCAGGGAAAATATTGAAGTACTAATAGAAAACACCAAGTCTCACATTGTGCACAGACTACAGAGTGACAAGTGATGGCCAGAATCGCCAGATATGGGAATCTTTCCATCTGAGTGCATTTCCAGTGTACTTTCTAACAAAATTTGAAATATTTTTGAGTCCCAGATTCATGTGTCTTCAACAATTGTGCAGTAATATAATTAAGAGGAATACTGTGGCCTAAGGATGCAACATTCTTTCCACAAATGCAAACGTTATGAGAAATTCAACAAAGCACAGAAAGCCTAACTTAGTCCCAGTACATAACTAGAACTCTATCTAACGATTGCCTTAATTCTAAAATGAGCTTGCATCAGGGTGATGCAAATATTATCCATAGGGTTTTACTCCTCTACAACGCATAAAATGTGTCGGTCAAGACAAAACCCATCGCCTTTTGGTAACATTTGGATTAGACCCGTGAACGTGGCGTTGTATACAACGCCACGTTCTTGTTTCATTTCGAACCTGGCGAAATCGATCCGACATACATAATTCCGTATGGGTGTTGAGTACTCACCTAGAAATCTAAATTTGCCCGTCCGATTGTTTCGGCTGTGTAATTTCGACGAAATTTGCCCATCAGTAAAGACCCATACGAACGTGTAGAAATTAGATTTTAACCTGACCCTGACAAATAACCCCGGATGCGTCTGAGTCGCTTGGACAGATTGACGGCTGTTTCATGTCGCAACCCCGAAAAAAAAAACCTGCAGACGATTGGCTGCTCGGCTCATCTCGTGTACAGTACGTGTGTGCACACACACGAGGGCGCACGTGCGACCGCGTGCGGTGCGGTGAGAGAGGAAAGGACTTGAAACTTGTCTAAAACGATGTCTGTTTTAGCTGCGACAGTAAACAGCCGTCGAATCATACGAAAATAAAACGCAATGCGCATGCGTCAGTTGGGAGAAAATGGCAGCTAGCAGTAGCGGACGGACTTCATGAACC